ATATTCAATCTTAAAACAATGATTAATTTAGTATTTTTGCAAGTACAATCAAGAGATTTTTGCTTTTCTCCCCTTTTTAACTTTCACTTTTGTATTAGTATTGCGACTACACTATTGTAAGTGGAAATAATATCAGTCTATTGTCAAATTAAGTGAAATCACCTCGACCTGACAAAATAAAGTAAAATTATCAGCCATACATATTGACAAATCAAAAAAGCTAAAAAAAATACGAAATGGTTCTTCTTGCAACATTATCGTTTAAGAGCGAGAATAGCCTAGCAAAAGTGTTTCACGCTGACATTAGCTGTTCTTAGGTCATTTTTGTTGTCTATCCACAGTCGTATCTGGCAAATACTTGTCGGATTTTTGTATTCCCTTCTGCATTTGGAAGGCAATTCTTTTCTGATTACTTTAGTATTTGTTTCAATTGTATTGCTTGAAAAAGGTCACCGTCATTTTTCACTTTTCTATTGGTGCTATGCTGACCGCCCACCGCGCGTAGAGGCTGCATTTTGACCTCTTTTTAGTGACTTGTTTAAATTGCCATTTCGGCTGTTCACCAATCAAATATCTTGTTGTTCATTTCCCCCAGTAAACGGAAAGCTGAATATTCATAGATTCTTCTTATATAAAATATATTTATTTATTTGAACAATATTTTGTGAGGGTGGTCCATCCACCCTGAGCTAATCAATTGGAACCCTCAGTACACACAATTAGAAAATAAGTATAAAAATTAAACTTGATCTTTAACATAAACAAATTTATTAAATTAAACCAGAATATGAATTCCCATTAGATGAAAAAAACAATCACCATCAAAACACTAATTTCAATATGAATGGACAATCCTGTCTAGGCATTATGCCCGCAAAAATGAAAAAGCTTTGGTATAGGCTTCCGCAATTGTCAGAGGTCTGGAATCCACCATCAACTAAACTGCTTAAAAAAAAAAGGGGGAAAAAAATTGGTTCGTGTGGGAATCGAACACACAACCTCCATGTTTGCTATTCATTATCCACCATCAAATAAACTGCCTTAAAAAAAAAAAAAAAAAAAAAACAAATTGGTTCGTGTCGGAATCGAACATACAACCTCCAGGTTTGCTATTAATTATCCACCATCAACTAAACTGCCTTAAAAAAATGGTTCGTGTGGGAATTGAACACACAACCACCAAGTTTCCCGTAACATGATTAGTCTATATTTTTCTAATTTGCATAATGAATATTTGTCTATTTAAGTGCGTAAGTTATGGAGATGGTAACAATCAAAAATCGATTGTAAATTTAATTCTACATTTTTAGACAAAAAATAAACCCTCTTGGCCCATGGCCCATTTTTTGACACCATAACTATGCATAATATTAACGTGCAGTGTATATATACGAAGAATTTTTTCTAGTAGGATTAGAGTTGACTAACTGGTACTTGGTGTGGTACTAGGTTTATCGCTTTTATGGCTTAGGGACCGCGGTTTACCTCCCTCCGTTTAGTCATGCTGGATCAGGAGTAGTAAACTCGGCGATCGTGGGTTCGATTCCCACACGGGGCAAGTTTTTTTAAAATTTTATTTATTTATTTATTTTTTTTTAAGGTCGTGTTTTTGTCGTTTTTTTTTTTTTTTTTTTTTTTTTTTTTAAGGCAGTTTAGTTGGTGGTGGATAATGACTAGCAAACATGGAGGTTGTGTGTTCGATTCCCACACGAACCGATTTTTTTCCTTTAATGCAGTTTAGTTGATGGTGGATAATGAATGTACAGTATTGTACTCGTTGATGACGTCGCGAAATAACAACAAACAACGTGTCATGTCCGAGCCTAGGCCGTCATGGAAGCTCATTGGCTCCTGTGTAATTCATGTTGAGCCAACTGCAGACGAAAAGGTTACAATCTTTTCAGAGATAAGCCGGAAGAAAGTTTTAGACAGTGCCCATGAATGGAAGGATTTTAATACTGAGGAATGGAAGAAGCGAAGTCCTTGGCTTGCTTAACCGTTTTTCTTCGATCGTCGCTTCCAACCGTCTAGGCGAGTCTAGCCTAAAGAGGGCCTACATAGCAGGTCGAGATCCATGAAAAGTCGTACAGTATATGTGGGTTACCCACATTTTTTATTTGCACAAGTAACTAAAATTGTTTATTGAGCAGATTAATCACACTGATAAACAATTGTACTACATTCGGCTGATGTATATGAACTTCTATTTAGAGACATAATTTTATTATTTTCTTTCCAAAAATCTTAATAAACGTTAACTAGCACCTTATATCGACTTTTGAATGGTGAAAATCGGCTCAGTATAACCCATTTTACCGAGTACAAATTTTAAGTTAATAGAACATACTGCTGACATCTTCTAGTTTTCCCCCACCGTTGTATTTAGGTACACCATGGCTGTAAATTGTGCACGCAAAGATCATACGCGGCGGATCCTACGCGGTGGATACCCTACGCGGTGCTATTTACACGATCTTTTGTTACTTTTTCGCCAGTGACGTCATGGAAAAATCTTATGTAATCGCCTATAACTTCATAAAAAAATAGCCAAAAAACGATTTTAAGGTTGATTCTATTATTAATGGCATATCAAAAATCCACTCTAGAACAAAAAATCATTTTACTAGTTCTCTTTTAAGGTAGACCAGGCCCAATTGGCTAGGCCGAGCTATAGGCCAAGCCGTCCAAGCCGTCACGGTAAAAGTGACCGTCCTAAATAATTAGGCCGTGCAAAAGACGGTCGTACGGCTCGCTGGCTAAGCCTGTGCTGGTTCATATACAGTAGTTTCCTCCATTCAATACGACGTTGTTCCTTCTTCACTGTATTGCAGCACAGTCACATTGTAAATATGCATCTATTTCTCTTTCTTCTTCCACCTTTCCTCTCTTTCCTTCAATTACCATCTGTTAGCAATTGTTTCTTTAAAATTCTGTATGTGACCAATCCATTTTCCCCCTTCATTTACTCTCTTCAATTGGCCTACTTCAACATTCGTTTCCTTCTCTCCAACTGACCTTTACATAACCGTAGGAAGCATTTTGCAAGTGGTTCGACCATTAGTAAGAGCGGGAAATAGCAGCTGACAAACCTGTGAGTCTCTACCCCTCCCCATCCGGCTGTCAAACACAATATTTAAAGGGTATACAGTTTATACTCACCTGCAGTCCCACCATGTGAGGTGCCAATTTTCCCTTGTGCGAGAGTTCTTGGTCGTGGCCCTTTTTCGCATTTGGCCGATCAGGCAAACAAAGCTTACACACTTCATACTTTCTATTGTACTGAAGTGATATACAGTAAAACCATCCCTCTGAACACCATCCTTATATTTATTTTAGTCTAGAATTCGGGGCCAGAAAAATATATTTATGAAAATGGATTATTTACAATTTATATCTATTTTACGGAAGTAATATAGTACCCTTTCGGATAAAATTCTGGTATTTCTTAGTTTCAGGGCGCGGGTAGGAATTACTAAATTGTATTAGTATACATCTAATACTGTAACTTATTGTCATAAAAATACGCATTAATGTATAAACTTAGGAAATACACTGAAGGTTTTATAATTGTTGATAAAAAATTAATGTCAGCTTCAGCTTTTCTTAAATGTTTGTAAAGTTTTTTTTTCCCAATTTTCTGCAATCTTGTTTTATACAAACATCACTGTTGTGCAAATCATGAATCATAGGCGAACGATCGGCAAGAAACCAAAAGCGACACGAATTTAAGTGCAATAAACCAAGATTTAATTAAAGAAAGTCAGACATGTTTCTTTTGTATCCCACAAATATTATACCAAAGAACCTACCCTACTTATATACTCGTGACGGTGGATTAAACTGCAGGTGGTTTGAAATTTGCCTAGATAGGCCTACTCGTATGAAAAGTTAAAACGTGGCAGATTATTATTTATTTTTTATCACTGACGATATCTGTGTGATACAGAAGAAACATGTCTGACATTTCTTTAATTAAATCTTGGTTTATTGTACTCAAATTATTGGTTTATATTGCATTCAAATTATTGGTGGCCAGGGAAAAGGTGTGTGTAATTTCCATTGACACTCCCATAGGCGGATCTTTTTCAAGAGTATGATCTTACATAGCATCCTATTCTTCCCGTAGGGCCTATGCATATTCACAAAAATGTCCTTTATAAAGAGTGGGCCTAGAAAAGCACCCAAGTTATAAATGTTATCTTAACACAAGGTACCGGTAAGTAGCATAATAACTCAAAATTATGACCAGATCACAATTCGTAGGCCTATTTCAAATCAATGTAGGTATATTGCGAAATGATAACTTGATCTCAAAATTCAATTTCTTTCCAGTGCCCTTATATGAATTGATATTCCTAAAGTGGCGTATCTAGGGGGTCCGGGGTGGGGGGGGGGGCACGCCCCAAAAACAATTACTCTTCCCCAGTCCTGTCTCTTATACACATCTTTATCCACATTTTTTATTTGCACAAGTAACTAAAATTGTTTATTGAGCAGATTAATCACACTGATAAACAATTGTACTACATTCGGCTGATGTATATGAACTTGCAGGCCTGTCCAACGGAGGAGAAAATGCTCACCTGTACCCCCACTGGCACCACCACCTTCCAGATGTCTACAGTGGAAACTTGGTTGACCTGGGTGCCCAGAAAAAACATATGAAATAATTATGAGATAATTATGTTGACGGTGATAGATATCCATATACATTTATCGTAAAAATAATATCATTAGAGAAAAAGTGGTGCGGCCAGCCAAAGCCGTTGCGGTTCCGACGGCATTGTCTTTATCATTTTTAGCTAATCTTCCTCTTCTTTCCTCAAAGACTAAATCTCTGATGCATATCAAGCATTTTACAATTTTCTTCTCCAAACCTGACCTGACCAAACTTATGCACTATTATTCTGTAAATTACTGCATAAACTCCGGCACTAACCACTGAACGAAGGCGCACATAAACACACTATAATGATAAAAAAGTATGGACACTTTGCAACTGCGGGGTATACTGAATAATTTAATAACAAATCATTCTAATACGATTGTTTAAAGTATGAACGTTCTTCCTATACAGTACTACCAATTTGAGGTACTAATACACTAAAAAAAAAAAAAAAAAAAATATGGTTTCAATAACAATCACTGCAATAAACTAGTTTGAATAAAAAAAAACCCATGAAAGATAAATTATATTAAAGAAAATTCTTCTAATCACCCCACACCATCCCCTCTCAAAAAAGCACTGCAGCCCCTCTACTGCATATCTGTGTGTCCCAGACTTTGGGATTCTTTAATGTTGCAATATATAAAACTTGTGTACTCAACCAGTGAAATTTTACAACTATCCATTTATACATATATAATAGAAGGCGTAAATGTGCACTCTACAAAAAATCCACTTATTAATTTTGCTATAGTATATCTTGCATAAATTTAAGAACAATTATTGCTCTTCATAATGCTATAATAATGACACTTAAATGACGGAAATTAATATTCAGCAGCACTTAGTGCATAAAATGGCATTTATTATTAATGAGGCAATGAATTTCTCAATAAAATATTGCTATATTTAATTTACCCGACAACAAAAATCATATACTATGTGAATGCGCACAACTGTATCGAAGTAAACAATATAAAAATGACTAGAGAGAGTATTGCTAAATCTCAGATATATTAAGAATTTATATTTCTATGAACCTGGTTGATGCTACTTCAGCTAAAACTGTAAAAGACATGTCTGGCCAATCAAATCTTTGACAAAAACATGAGACATGCTTAAATATGGTCATGACGACATCACGCCCATACCCATATATAGCCACATAATGACTAAATATGGTCATAGAACTATATATTTGTCAGAGACAATTTGATGATCTAGAAAGAGCTTTAACTTAATACGCATTCAGATACTGCAATTTAAATGAAGACAAAAATTAAAATTAAAATTTAATTTAAATGAATGCCAGATCCAACATTGAGTTTGAGTCTTTCATATCCATTGTAATCAAACGAATTAAGTAGTAATTAACTGTTATGAAAAACATGCAATAAAGGCATACTTCAAAGGAAACGCATATGAAGTATGTAAGGAGAATTATTAATCTTGTACACTTGAAAACATAGCGATTACTACTTCACAATTTCATGTTTCATAATAGGGTTTATTTTCTCGCATTAGTTCAAACCACAGATTGAGTTTGCATTCACTAATATGAAGTCAATTCATATAGATTTTTTTCACAGTAAAACATGGATTCTGAACCAAAAATATTATCTTAGGAAATTAACAATAAATATATTAGGAATGATGCAATTGGGTCAATTTAAATATATTTCATATTTACCATGACAATAAAAGAACCAAATCTAATCTAAAATAAATTTTCAATAACATTATCATTCTACAATCAATAAGAAAAAAGATTATTTATTTAAGCATAATGCATTAAAATATCTATTATCAAATCACATTGTTATGTAATGACAAAATGATGAATAAAAGAAGTATGTCTACCTATTAAAATAAACTGTAGACAACACTACAATTTGCAATACCATAATCACAATTATAATGATTATTTTCATAAATATTAAAATAAACTTTATTTAAATATCTATCAACAGTGACAAGCACTCAGTTATTGTTAACATATACCCCTTCTACACTGCAAGCAAAACTCCGGACATAACCCGGCATTTTCCAATACCCGGGTTAAAAAATTCCCGAGTTGTGGTTAGTGTAAACTTCAAAAAGTCCGACTCGGGTTGCCAAACACTCTGGGATGAATGTGCGGGACGCATTCAGAATAGGGCAACCCGGGTGCTTTCAGGAGTCGCCAGTGTAAACAGCACCGAATTTGATTCCGGAATTAGGCCTTTTCCTGGCACCTACCGCAGCTGTGTTTAGGTTGGCGTAAACTTTGCTAACAAGATCTAGGCCTAGACACTTTTCAAAAATAAACCCTCTACGCTCCAGTATAGACTTGATATCAAAACTGCTGATTTAATTCGCATAATTTAAAAACAATCTGCAGGTACATTGCTTCAATATTGACAATAATTGTGGCTTCGTGACGACGAGGAACTCGAGCAAAGTGATGATCACCATCACAACAAAAATTGAAGGAGGTATTTGAGCTCGAGTTCGTTGCCGGTGTAAAGTGGGAGCAACTCGGGATCAACCCGGACTTTTTGGTTCGATGTAAATGGGAAATGCACCCGGGATCACTCCGGAATTAACACAGGTTTATCCTGCCCTTGGCAGTGTAAAAGAGGCAATAGATTGTACAATGTGGCAGAACAAAATTACATAATATGCTAACATTTTAACTTGGACAGTTTTGGAAGGTAGATCTCAGTTGACAGATAACGTCCCTGAGACAATTGTGTTCACTTTATTATAATACTGAAAACACAACCAACACTAAAAAACTCTAAATGGAAACAACAGCACTCAACATCAAAAGGGAACAAATAGGCCTATAACAATATTGCATTTCATATGGTTAGCCGCTATGTGCATATAGTTGAAGTACAAATATTACTCATGGATTGAATCGCTTGACGCTGTCAACCGAGGAATCCATCATGGCCGAGTCCGCCCTTAACCAATGAGACTTTCGCAGATCATCTGCTGCAAATTACCGTCTCGCATGGGTCGACGCCGACTGAGTTCTGGAGTATTGAAATTGATATTCCTATACCTTCTTTTTTTATAAACACAGTGTGTGTTGGTCAAAGCAAAAACAGGGAATTTCCAGGAGAATAAAAGAGCAACCAACAAAAGAATGCAAACATATAACAAGCACTCCAAAAATTGTCTCCATATTACAGCCCCTATGTCTCCAGGAAAGCCTCATTAACCTAATACACTGTACAATTTTTAAGGAATGACAAAACAATGCATTTAAAAAAACTCAACATAATTTGTTTAATAGAAGTCTTCCGGCATGATTGTCAGCTTCTCAAATGAAATTTATGCTAAATTTCAGTATTTGGTATAAATTAAAAAATATCTATATATAATTGCACTTCAAAGTCCAATGATTCAACGTAAAGACGCGTTCAGGTCCAAGGTATCTATTTTCGTTCGAAATTCAGCCATCCCTTTCTTTGCGGAGCAGGCTAATTCTTTAACTTCAGTATTAATTGTATCAATCACCCATTCCATGGCTTCACGTCCCTGAAGGCAAAATAGTACATGTTGTTCAATGGAAAGTGTGTTAATTAACTGTTATGACATTCAACAATGATGCATGCACATAATTAAAGTCCTAATTGAGAAATAAATCATCAAGAGGTGCCAGTTCTTCATTTTTTTAATAACCAAGACTTTTGTGTAAATAGAGGGCGCTGTTTCAAAAGATTTAATGTACAGCCTTTTAAAATGTTGATTAAACGTTTTAGCAACAAATCTGAATGTTAACAGGAAAACTAATCTTATTCCTTATGTTTTTTTAATAAGTTAATCTGCTTCTGTGCCTGTCTGATAATAACAAAATTAGGAAAAATTTCATTAATAAATTACACAGCAGATTATGAGTGCAGGATTGGGGAGTCTGAAATTGGGTACACAACAGTTTTATCAATAGTTAGGGTTATGGGTCAAAAAATGTAGTGCTTCAATGCACAGACAGTGTAACAAGTTTAGTTTCCATAAAAGTATTATTGCTTAAAACCTATAATGAACCAGAATAACTAATGTTATACCCAACTTACCAACGCCGCATTAGACGCCATTGTACTTGTGACTAAACCCTCGAGGTAACTACTCAAAGACATCCCTCGTATATGTACCGCTGCTTCTTGCTTCAACAGGGTCCTGTTTAAAACGAAAGAAGTATTGGGGAAAACAAAAACATTGATCATAACGTTAATGACCAATCAAATCGGATAAAGAAATACGTAATGTCCTAATGTTGCAAGGCAAAGTTTATTTAACAAGATATCAATTTGAATTATGGTTGTAGATTTACCTCCAAGTGCATGATTATCTAAAATTTGTGAGATGCCACCTGCTAAGCTGTAGGTTATTATATAAGATAGATCGCAATGGAAAGTAAAAATTATTACGGTACTTACGCATCTTTAATGGTTGGATGAGGCTTGTAAATCAATTGTTCATCTATTGTTATAAGGCTCTTTAATGTAAGCTGTGGAGAAAAGAAAGAAAACACTGCAAGTAATTCATGTAACATTGTTTACGCTTAGGCCTGCAGGCTCTCAATTAATATGACATTTCTAGGGCGTGTTGTTTATTAACTTATCGTTATGTTGCATTAGTTAGTGACCTATTTTGATGTTTGAAATCAATAAGCAGACCAGATGTTGCTTTGATACTCAATTAATATACTAAATGTTCTAACCGGAACTAATGATGATCGTGAAGAAGTTGTGATGAAAATGCTATGCTTTTGGTATCAATAAATGATATCTGTAAACTGTAAAAGTTCAAAATGAAGTGCACTATAAGTGCACTTATAGTGCATAAACAAACAAATTCAGCACAATAATAAGGTGTCTACAGGAAACTTAATATTCCTAAACAAAACACAAATGTTTGGAAATTGATTAAGCTCAAGTAATTCTATGTAGGAATCCTGCAGTCATGAACACAGTACTGAAAGACTAAGTCCATGTATCTAGGTTCCATGATGTTATCAGTATGAGATCTACCCAGTGGGGGATCCAGGAATTACAAAATACTGATATTGGGGGCCGAGGGAGGGTTTTGACAGATAAATGGTCTAGACCACCACAGCCCCACAAAGGTCGGGGCAAAGGTGTGACATTTTTTATGATTATGGCAACACTCTAGATGGCCGGAAATTGCACTTTTAAGACTTGAATTTGAATAGTGTCTTCTTTGGCTGGGCCCACCTTCAATCCGCCGATGTGTACCAAATATAACCAGCAGGTTTGTGCATAAAAGTGGGTGAAGCCTGGGCCAAAGTGAATTTTTGATTCAACACCATGTGCCATTCCCAAACTTTGAGGTTTCCATTGTGCTTGCAAAAACCTTCATGCACTGCTTTTATACCACTTTATTCTCAGTTTTAATATCATTCTTACAGATTACTGGTGTCGGGCTGTAAATAAAAACCGTTTTTTGTAGCCAGAGATGGTAGGCAGGCCACACAAATAGGGTTTTTAATATATTTTCATGGGCCGCAACAACAAATCGCAGATGAGCCTCATTTGCCCACATGACTATTATCAGCATCATTAGCATTCATTTTCTCAATATTTTCAAACTAGAGTTTATGCATACTGGACTATATAATAAATCTTTTACTGCATCATTAATCAATTTATCATTCATACTTAGATAAACTCCTTCAAACCAAGTACAACATATTTCAGCATCATTATTCATTTATCAATTTTTTACCATGTTCAATTTCTTTAGAATGTTAATTTTACAAGATCACTAGAGAGATTTTCAAGCAAGGCAAAACGTACTTACATTCACTGAATTTAATGTAAGGGTTTTGTTTTCTATATCAACTTCAGACTTCTCCTTTACATGGCAAGTTGGATTCATTCCTATTAGCTGCAATTTGATGAAACATAACACAATTCTAATACTAATAATGATAATATAATACTGATTATTATAGAATTAATTAGAAAATGAAGATCGACTTAAGGCTATCTTTCAACTTCGCGCGAAACTGAATAAACCTCTCATGAAGAAACTTAGCCAACTACACTATTTGGAATGCCCGCCACACTGAAACCTGGGAAAACTGCCCTTCTTAGAATAATGTTTTTATGCCAATGTGTTTTCTTACCCTGCATATATTTAGGAACCCCTAAACTATGACCTGGGTTTTGTGTTATGCATTCTTTTGTCACTGATTAAAGAATGATAGGGAAAAAAACAATACAAAAGAAATAAAAAAAACAATAATTAATAATATTAATAGCATTTTTTTATATACTTAAAAATAACTGATTTATAAAAAGCACACACTAAAACAAGTTAAAAAAAAAAGCTCCAAAGATAGTAAGAAACAGCATTTCAATTTAATATTTTGATCTTAAATTAGATCATCAGAAAAAAGCATGTATTAGGTAAAAAAAAAAATATTGTGCTGGCGATGTTTTGGAAAAATCCACAAAATTTGTAGGTCGGTAAAAATTTTTTTTTTTTTACAACCAAATAAATATGTGATTACACCTAAAAAGTAGAAAATACACAAATAACATAACAAATTTGGATTCGTATCGCGTACCATCCAGCAAAATAGGCTAGCCTTGGCCCCCACTAGCCTCACTAAAGGCTATTCCAGCCTAATTTGCTCATAAAAAATAAAAAATTTAACAAAAAAAAAAAAATAAAAATAAAATTTCAAAAAAATTGGGTCAGTCGTGCGTGGCCAACAAAATAAGTTTTTTTTTTTTTGCCTTAATGTATGTTCACTGGACTGAAAATTAAATTGTGAAGAGTAAATGGTGCAGTGAGAAACCTTTGAATGATAATGGTAACAATAAAAAGGTCAATTTTGAGTCTAGGCCAGGTCATCCAGTTTCCTTGCACAAAGCACTTCATCCATGATTTCTCTCTCTACTCATGAGATAAGTAGGTTACTGGTAGCTTTGAATGCTAATTAACTGATTACAACTTGCAACCTTATGTAATAGTCCCCCACAAGGTAGAATAAAATTATATATTAGTAAATTGTTTAATACAATAAAGATGTGGGTATCAATATCAAAAGTGATGCTTGCTTTGATAATAATATATTACAACGTGTTAACTGTAATAGACCTACAATATTTATGTTTGATGTTCATATAGGTATTATTTTGGAGGTTCTGTAAGGGTTTTAAGTTCTTCACTTTTGGGTATATCTTGTAGGATATTTTTATATTTATTAGTAACAATTGCATATATTAATCAATTAATTGTTCTGGCCCATATTACAGTATTTATTTATATTGTTTGTATACATACTGTTGGTGGTGGGCCTTGTTATTCTTTAGTGATTGTTTAGTCTATGAAAACTAATCCGAAATAAAAGTTTTAATTGAATTGAAATTCACATCACTGCTTTTATATTGTTTATACACCTTGAGTGAAATCAATGGTTAGTATAACAAATTTTCAAAAATTGATTACATTCATCAGAAAAAAGTAAATAAAATGTGATCATGATGATGTCAATTGCCCTGTTTCTAGATAATATATTTGGAGTTTTCCATAATTGCTGGAAACTTGCTTGTTCCCAAATACCGTACCCTTCCTTTGGTATAAACCCACCCCTGCCCTCTTTGACTAATAGTACCAATTTTTGGGGGTGGCATTATTCTCAGGGTTCCACATTTTTTTTTTTTTTTTATCAAATGGTAATTTCTTAAGGCATTGTAAGTTATGGCTAATTCAAAGCCAATATTTTGATGTTTTTTTTTTTTTAAATATTTGTCATACCCTGTACATTTGCCCAAGGAGAAATGCTGGTATGGGCAGAAAGATTATACTCAAGGAATAAATGTAGATGAATTAGTAAAACATACTTACACTGGTTACCCAACCTGGTACGCCCCATTCTGTGGTTAGCAGTCTGTGGCTTACTAGTTTTCCTGTTGGAGAAACACTCCTATCTACTACATCCACTCCTATAACACTGGGATTCATTGGATTTGGATATTTCCGCCATGCTGCTTGGCTGACTGTTTCCCATGGATGGCTGTGTCAGGAAAGATAACAATCAATTACAATAGAATAATAACCAAAATTATAATTAATTCTATTAACTGTATAGTAAGGCCTGCGTGGGGAATATATCCTCCACCCAAACATTTGGCCTACAAATCCGTCTGCGCAATTTATTAATATAACCAACAATACAAATATACAGCAACTATGATTCCACGCCTTATTTTCCTAGCGATTTTCCAAAAAAATTTGAGCAGATTTTTTAGATCCTCTGCGCAATTAAAAAACTTGATTATTACAGTATGGTTACTGTTATATTATTAATACTATTATGCCTAACTTACTACGGACCACAGTCGGTTTCTATCATTTTCAACGGGTGGAAGAGTTAAATTAAACTAAACCTAAAGTAAAGGCTTGTCAAGGGCGGATTTAGAAAGGGGGGGAGGGGGGCTGGGCCGGAAGAAGGAAGGAAAAAGAAATATTGATCACATAAAACGCCTCAGACAGAGGTTATTTTCAGGTGTCTAGAAAACAAAAACTTTACGGAGGGAAAGCCCCGGACCCCATACATTAGTGGTTTCTCGATTGGCCCACTTTCGGACATTTCTGGTGGATCTGTCCCTGCTTGTTTGTGGTCAAATTCCACCAGGAATAGAAATCACTGGTGGGTTCATTTGTGGGCTTCTTTCTCAATCATGTCAAGGGTTCATTCATGTCATGGATGGTAAAGTTTTTAATGTTTATAAAACATGGTCCCAAAATTGTGCCAAGGCCTAACCTAGCCTTAGTGAAGCTAGCGTAGAATACAGGCCAGCCTAGCCTAGGAGGAGGAGAGGCAGTGCACGTGCATGCGTGATGAAAACACACCGGCATTTCTCCTTGGCGGCCTAGCCTAGGCTACAATGTGAATAGGATATGGTTAATGGTTCCTTAAATAATACTTACTAAAATACATGTTCTGAGCTCCAAATTTTCATAGTTATAATATTAGAACAACACCTTTTTTCAAAATATCTAAAATAAACGTTTTCCTATTCTAGCCTTCCCATCCGCTTCACGTACTGTACAACTGCAATCGATCGTGGTGTCGTGGGGAACGGAATTTCGTAACGCAAGGCTGTGTGAATGACGTATGACCTTATCCTTAGTACTACAGTTTATCAGCTGAGTATCCACAATTAAATATAGTTCTATTTGGTAGGATGTCTATAAATGTATACTGTTGAATGGAAGTGCAATTTGGAAGAACTTTATCGAATAAAAACATTATTCTACTCAAAATTCTATGGTTTTTAAGGAAGATTTCTGATAACCCACAGATTGTATTTTCATTGGTAAATTTACTTCTTAGTGTAAAGAAAAATAATGCGCGTTTCTTGCGTCATGAAAACTTTTTGTCAAGCCTTACGCTGATTGGTGATTATTGACCCTTGGCCACTTGATAATTAATTAGTAGTCGACCATTCAGGAAACTCAATTCAGAGGTCGTCTACATGGAAACAGCTAAAGCGTTTTGGAAGATTGAGACAAGATGGCGCTTCAGTACATGAATCAAAACAGTGTAGGCCTAGGCCGCCTATATACTGAAGTATCTGCGTTGTTTAGGTAGGTAGGCCATACCTATTGGTAAGTTACAACCATTATTATGCATTATGTTTGATTAGGAACAATCAATTATGATGTCTCATCTGTGCGTAAACCGTTATGTATGTACACCAATACATTGACCAACATCACCATCCATATCCAGGAGCCGAAGAAAGGCTGAAGCGGAACAGTTGCCACTGCCAGCAGGGAAAGTGCCTGCCCCGCACTTCTGCGTATATCAATCAAAACATTTCAGGACAGCAGCAGGCCTGACATTACCAACAAGTGAATATTGTATCATGCCCAAAAAGTGCACTGTGTGTTTGCATGTGCAAGATGTCAGTCTGTCAGGCCTTCTTTTTTCATGATTGTATGTATGTACAAACAATGTAGTTAACTATAATTAATTGTTATTCAAAACAACAACAGCCATAATAATTAATATGTCCATATTAATGCCCATCCATAGGCCTAGCCTAGCCCTAATCCATTATCAATTATATGTTAATGATTTCTTTAGCTTTCCTTTTGATAAGAGAAAACAGAAAATTTGGTTGTGTTTTCAGTTATTGAGTTCCCTAACAAATTCTGAAAAGCAATCAAGATGCCTACAGGTTTGGAGAAGCAGACGGCCAAGAGAGCCACTGATTGTGGTGATACTCCATTGTACGATAGCAAAGTAGTGGCTCCTAGAAACCCAAAACTTGTTCGAGGAGACCCAGAGACAGAAAAGGTAAAATTGCTGTTCAGTGTTATTAAAGTAATTGATTGATCGAATACATGACCAATAGCTTATTCTTTGTAGTGAAAGCGATGTTCAATATGTTGTATTGTTATGTTTAATACTAATAGTGCATTAAATGTCATCGGTCTCACATAATTATCAGTCCCGCATTGCATTAAACAAAAACAAGAATTTAGGCCAAAGTGAAATCTACTTTTTATATAAAATAATATTAATATTTAATAATAGACCAAGTCTAAATAGAGTAGACCTCAACATGTTACTTGTCTGTAACTTCTGGGCCACTAGAAAGCAAAATTGCTTATATGGCCCAACTTTAAACAAAATTGTAAATGCTGTTGGTGGCGTATTTGTGCATGAGAGTTCGAAGATGGTAAAATTATTTAAGAGAAAATGTTAACGGATGGTTTCTCCATGCCTCATTTAAACGCGATTTGTATGTACATTAAGGGAACTAGCTTCAGTAACCGATTTTGACAAAATATTCCATGAGTCACCACTCCACCTGACATGAAAAAGAAATAGAATCCAATATGACTTTTGTAAAGCTTGAATGGATGATCCCTGGTCTGCTAAGCATGTTAAACAAGTCATTGTTTATTTATAAGTCATTGAAGCTCATTTAAGTTAATCTTATTTCTCTATTAAAATAAACTACCGTAAAGAATGAGATGATTGCGGCCCTCTGTGTTAGACCAATTTTTATGCCCACCCCTGGTTTATAGGATCACGGTGTATCCCTCATCCACTAAAATATAAATTTATATCTTGGAAATATAATGTCTGTGTTTTTATATTAGCTGACACCATCTAGTTTTATGAGAGAAATGGCACAATCAACGCACGAGAAACTCGCAAACACACATGATATGAGGATCCCGCAGGTCGTTGAACTTCTGGACATGGGTGACACCACTTATCAGATGGTATCGGAAGTGGACATAGATGAGCCAATGTTCCAGCCCTTCCCATCAGAAATCACATTTCTAAATTATGAACCATTTGAAGTATACGAAGTTCCACTGGTCCTCAGAAATAATGACAAAGTAAGTGAAGTGAAGGATTATCTTCTTGTATACCTTACTAAATTCAATTTAATTCAATTCTTTTATTCATTCTTTACAATCAATGGCAGCCAAAGCTGAATTGCAGCATTGTAACAAGCTTTCCTACCAAATATAATACAATTTAAAATAATGTACAAAATATATGACCATTATATAATTACAACTACAAGCATAATAATACAAAAATTACAATTAATATAATTTATTAATTACCATAATTACAATACCATTAACACCATAATAATAATAATAATAATAATAACAACAACAACTGTTATTACTATAATTATATCAATATACTAGTAATATTATATAATAATAATGATACCTTGATTTACTGTGAGCTTTTCCTCATTGGCATACTTCATTGAATTGAAGGTATTCTTATTTAAATGCATAAAGAAGAAAAATGCTACCATCAGTTGAGCTCCCATAGCTATAGCTAAATGAATTTTCAAGTTCAGAGTTCAAAATTTTACCCCCCATCCAAAGGTCAGGTGCTTTTTGAGTACTGTATACTGTGCAGATATACTCTTGCTGTGGTAGTGGAATTTTTCTGTAAAATGGAATGCGTTAAGTAGATTTTTTTTTCTGTACATTGTGAATATAGGCTTATCAGGGGGTTTATAATTAATTGGTCCTACGGTTTAACAGATGACCAATGGCTGGTAGCATCCTGTCCGATAATGGACTATGTTATAGAGTAATTGTGACCTAGTTTCTGCAGAATGCATATCCCTTGATCAGGAGCCTATTTTTCTCTTTCTACTGTATGTTTGTAATCTGTCTGATTAACTCTTCACTGAAGTTGAGTTCAATTGAGTTGAAAATAATAATAGTTCTTGAAATCCTGACATTAAATTACCATCTTTATCATAGTTGCCACTGAATATTTTGAACTTTGTATTTCCTGTTAATTTAGGTGCCGAGACTTGTGAAAGTAGTCCAGGCTGACTCCCCATATTTCAAGGTCATTAGTCCGCATGATGTCAGCCACAAAGTAGCCCCCGGTATACCAACTATTTTCAAGGTTCAGTTCATCCCAGAAGAAAAGAAAGTAAGTTTTACAATAAAAGATTTTAATATGTTTGCTTTTTTCAAAACTTTTAATTCATTAAAAAAAAACTATATCAGGAAACAAATCTACTTTAAATAATTGTGTAATATCACGCAGTTATGTAAATATTAATGAATAATTATCTCTTATATAAATGTGACGCGGTCAAGCCAAATCAGTCGCTTGTCGGCAATCGTCAACTGGAAAAAATCAGGCTTAAAGCTTTTGTACGTTGAAAATTTCAAAGAAAATCCAAATTCATTTTATGACTTAAAATTAACAACAAAGCATCTAAGATTCATACTACCTTGACATTTTTCAAATTTTCAACTGTAAGAGAACATTTTTATAAAATTTATGGAAGGTATGTCACTGTAAAGGTCCATTTTTACCAGTTTAGATGCACGTCTCAGCACATCGGTAAACTTTGAAGGTGAATTTCTTTAAAACGTGTTTACGGTTTCTCCCAAACGTAGGTATCTTTAAGGTTCTGTAACTTTATAACGAAAAGTTGGATTGTAAAATTTTTTTCACCATTGTAAAGAGAATACCTTACTAAAAAATAATAATATATTATCTCAAAATCCTAATTTCCAACAAGCGACTAATTTGGCTTGACCATGCTACAAATGTAAGTGTATAAATATTTCTGTTCTTATTACGATATGTAATTATTGTTGAAACTTCATGTAAATATATACATGTTAAGAAATTGAAAAATACAGTGTAATAAGATTGCTTATATTGTATATTAATTTAATTGTTGAATGATAGATTATTAACTAATCAGACTTTCAGTAATTAAATGTAGATGCATTGATTAGTTTTCAGGATTAAAAAAAAAAATGTTTTGTAGTATATGAAAAAATATTCTAAAATTAGTTGATTTAAATAAAAAATAAATAAATAAATACATTCGTCAATTAAAGGGGATAATACAGATATTTGAATATGATAATAATTATTTTCTATTTTTTTCTAACTTAAGGACTACATGCACGAGTTAGTGTGTATAACTGAGCGTGAAAAGTTTATTGTCCCGGTGAAAGCCATCGGAGCACGTGCAATATTGGATTTCCCGGATGATGTCACCTTTCCGACTTCTCCTGTAAAGTTCCCATCCACAAAGATGCTGCTTGTTCGTAACATAGGCAACAGGGAAGCAAAATTTTCATTGAACACAGAGAGGTACTGTAATAATCCATTGCTGCTGCCTTTTATGCTTAATTTATTTTGCCATGTTGTCAACAAATTTCTAAATAAATTCATCTGTAATGTATGGTTTCAACATATGTGTATCTCATGTTTGCTGTTTGAAATATTGCTGTACTGGTACTGATATGGGCATTTATAATTCGCCTCTTCCTCGAGGTTATAAAGCGCACTTCTTTTCCCTGGTTATTGGGTTCAAATGTTTTAACAGGTACACATTAATACTCTTGGGTGGAGAGGAGCCATGCAGATAAAGTGCCTTGCTCAAGGACACAAGCGAAATGCACAGTGGGGGATTGAAACCCTGACCTCGAGGTTGGGAAACCAAACTGTTTCCTCTGCACCAAACCACCTAGAGGTTGACCCTGCGTTCCAATGCACTGTGAAGAGAGTAATGAGTCGTAAACCTATACAATGCCTTTACTGCACTGCATCATGATTGCGCTACTGAAATCTTCAGCATTCCGTAGTTTGACGACTTGTCACTATTCAGGTGTGCTCTGGAACGCAGCATTAATTTCACAGGTTACCAATATTAAAAAACAATCTTATGCTAAATCTGTTAGTAAAATCATTATTATTTTATTATTATTTATTACTATATTATCATCATTTTTCAGCCATGATTACCAATATTAAAAAACAATCTTATGCTAAATCTGTTAGTAAAATCATTATTATTTTATTATTATTTATTACTATATTATCATCATTTTTTCAGCCATGATAAAGATAATTTTCTTGTAATGAAGGTAATAGGTATTGAATTTGACTACATTCGTTCCTACACTAGTTTACTTGCATAGGAATTTTTACTTCTTATTCTGTTTATTTTATTTCTGTAGGCCATTTTTTGTCAACCCAGAGAAAGGAATATTACCAGTTGGGGAGAGTATGCAAATTGAACTGACCTTTAAACCCTTGAAAGTTGGTGACCATAGTAGAAATTTAATTATCAGCTATGAAACTAACGAAAAGGTGTACATTAATCTTTACGGATGTGCCTCAGATGCTAACGTCAGATTAGATAAGAGCTCTGTACGCATTGAAAACACATTCATCTCAATGGCCAATCAGAGAGCTGTTACCATAAGCAATAGGAGCAATGTGATTGTGCACTATCAGTGGAAGCCATTCGCTACTTTAGAAGAGGAGATGCAACAGAAAGAGAGGTTCGATTATGATTTTAAAATAATTAAGTATCGTAGTTATGATATAATGATGGTAATATTCATATGTAGAACTTGTATTATATTGAGTATTTAAACCACTATTTATAGAGGTTTACCCTTTCAGCGTATCCTTGAAGGTCGGCTGATATTCAGGGGCCCTCTTAAATATGTGATGTTTTATCAGCGAAGTCTCATTACTCGGTAGTGGAGATGTTTTTTTAGTCATTAGAAAAAATACTGTCACAGGATTTGAACCCAGGACCCTGGGATTGGTAGGCAAGCATCTTAACCACCAAGCTACATCTCAACACTTATTCCAAAGACTCTATTTATCCCAATCATTCCCAATCTTACTTCATACCTTTTTCACGTGAGACAATGTTACACAGAACGTGCTATTAAAAAATTTAGCAAACAACATATTGCGTCTGTGTGATTGCGCAGCCATCCATGTTTTGTTTTGGTTATGATAGTGATGGGAATTTAGTAATGAATTCAATAATTAAAATTATGTTAAACTACTTTTAAGTTAATATGAAGTAATTGATAATGATATTTTTTTTTCTAATATTATCTTAACAAACAGTCATTTTGGTTGCAATGCATAGATTTTGTCAAGACCTGGAGTCGGAGGAAGCAATGGACCATGATAAGTTCTTGGCGGAATGCATCTCTGATCCGACTGTCCGAGATAAAATGGCAATCCTCACACAGACATTCAGCAATAGACGCAAGGTAAATACCATTAGATAGATCTATCTCATCGATAAAAACACCATTTTTTAGGAGTGTTGCTTTGCCCTCCTTGATGTGTTAATATCGTACTGAATACTCGGTATGTTCCCAGTGTTCTTCCGAAGCTGTTTTAGCCTTACCGGTAAAAATAACAGGCCCACCAGTGAAAGTTTTGAGTTTCTAAAATAAAAAAAAACTACTGATTAGGCCTAGGTAGTTTAGGCTGGCTCTCGTTCAATAAATTAACTGCATTCCAGTCTATTCCTAGGCTATGAATATGTGTTGTTTCTTCGAGTCATTAAACCCCATTCAAAAGGGGTAACGCCTCACACTGTGTGCATTGATGAATTTTTATGGACAAATTAACAGTAAAATTTTTCAATTGTGAGAACACTGGTTCCCAAATACTTGCGAAAAAAAAAATCGCAAGTAATTCGGGTGGGAATCAAACTCACGATCTCTAGATAACTAGTCTGGCTTCATAACCACTAGACTTTGTGCTTAGTGACTACTGTTGAATCCGATTGACTAGTCACTAAGCGCAAGCTCGGTGGCTAGTGGTAGGCTAGTTATCTGGAGATCGGGGGGTTCGATTCACACCCTAATCACTTGCACATTTTTTTCACAAGTATTTGGGAACGTACTGAGTATTAGGTATGATAACACGTAATTTAGGGCAAAATGTCACTCCTATGATATTTTCCTGATGCAATATCTTCACTTTATATATACCCTAAGGTAAGAAATTTTATTTTGATTACCTCAACCATTTAATGGGATGATACGCTTATTGGTCCTGTGTAAGTCCTGTAATTTCATTGCATCTTGGTTTACTGATACACTTTCTGTCATGTTCGTATACATGTTTGGTATTTAAAAGAATTGCCGCATTTAAGCCAGACTAAAATTTCAGGAAAAAAAAAATCATTATTGTTATTATTACAATCATTATTATCATTCCTCATTCTTGTTAGGATGATTTACTTCTTGTATTTTAGTCTCATTTGATATACAATCATATTTTTTTACAATTTAAATATAAAAATAAATAATTAAATCATATATTCTTGTGTTTTTATCTTTCAGCTTATTGAGACTGACAGCATGCTATTCTCTGACGATGTATTTGTAATTGAGCCATCTGAAGGTGACATCTGGCCCAACTCTACTGCTGAGGTGAATGTGGTATTCAAACCACAGGAGGCCGCCGTTTACTCACGTACAGCTTACTGTGACATCACTGGCCGTGAATCACGACTACCGTTGAGGATTCGTGGTGATGGAATTGGTCCAAAACTAATATTCTCATTTGACACACTTGATATGGGTCACATTTTCATTGGCTCTACTCATACCTATGAGGTAAGATATCAATAGTGAAGATCCCAAAAAATTGATACTGAAAAAAAAAACTGACATGACTGGATTAAGGAAAGAAATGTATAAGAAGAAAAAGTAAAGGTAATTTATTCGTTTAACTTTTTTTTAAAGATATATTGCCAAAACCACCATTAATTTGTGTATTTTGTAGGTTGTGCTTTCAAACACTGGTGACATAGATGCATCATTTCAAAAACTCTCATCACAAACAACCTTTGGTCCATGCTTCAAGTTTCAACCCAGTGAGGGCCTTATTCGACCTGGAGGTCACCAGGCTGTCCTGCTTTCGTTTTGTTCCGTGCTGCTTGGTGACTTTGATGAAGTGTTTGAATTCTTTGTTGATGGTTCCCCATCCCAACTTCAACTTCAGTTCAAAGGCTGTGTAATTGGACCAACATTTCATTTTGATGTACCACGTTTGAAGTTTGGAACAATTTCATATGGTAAGAAAAGAAAACAATCAGAAATGCAGTATGTATGCAGGATTTTATTGTGTGAAGGGTTATATTCTTTTACAAATGAGCGCTTTGAATCATCATCCACCTCAGTCCCAATGGTTTGGGGAAAATTTTATGGGTATAACACATCAGATGCCCAGAAATGACACTCCATTGCTTCGAAAGATTCCAAATTTCAAATGCTTCAAATCCATTGAAATGGTACTTTTTACTAATAATTTAATCCCATTGGTTTAAGAAAAGGGAATTCTTTAGAACCCTTAAAATCCCCTGTCTTTAGGCTTGGGAATTAAACTCCTTTTAAATGTTTGAAAAACGGAATACTCTGATCCAACATGTAAAATACAATGTGGAAATTTTGATTTGCATTAGCATACACAAATACTGTATATGTTATATTCCCATTTAGGATTTACGAATATTCAGTGTGCCACATTGGTCAACACAGCCTTGGTGCCTATGAACTTTGTCCTGCGAGTACCGGGAGACGGAACTGATGACACTGTATGTGCAACAAGTGGTGAGGTGACTTTGGGAAAAACTGGGCACAGTAAATTCCCGAAAGAGTTCACAATTACACCAGACCATGGGACGATAGATCCTCAAAGTGAATTAAAAATACAGGTTAGTTCTATTCTGTTGTGTTTGTATACTGTACAAAACCTCAGTATAATAATAATTGGGTGATACATGCAGGTACTGGCATTGAGACATGCAGATTCATCAAGCAAGAGTTCAGAAGTCTGAGATTTTGTTGCTGAAACTAAGTACCTTGGTCATATTTTGGTTTAGTGTTGCAGTGGCTTTGCTACAACCAGCTCAAACTGATTGAAACCAGTAAGTTCTACATTTACATATGGTGGTTTTTTGCAGTTGCAGTTCAACTAGTTTATTCTGGTTAAAACTGGTTTCTAAATTGGAAGTTTTCTATAGTCATATATATGGTGGTTGTTTCAGCAAGTTTATACTAAATGGTTTAAACTTCTAAATGTCAACTACTGTACATTGCTAAAATTGCAGCTTTATGTACTATATTGATAGTCTAATCCAATAGAGCTTAATACGTTGGCTGCCAGCGACAAGTATACTCGCCCACAGGATGTTGCTGAGGGCGCAAGGGACAAGTATACTCTTGCAAATCAGGGTAACATTCTAGCGTTTATAACTTCTTTGTTATACATTGTAGAACCACAGACTCAACGTCTGGTGGTTTGGGGAAGATACATCTAGACGATAACGTGCATATGACGTATGTATGTTTGTTGTGTTATGTTGCCGGTGAATATATACCAACCCATGCAAAAAGCGGACTAGATAACTCGCACTTGGCATAGTCAATAAAATATTCTATCACAGTGCCATCCACGAGTATACTCGCCCCCTAATATTTTCCCTCCAATTTATTAGTCACATCAATTTGATGATATATGACTAGATAAAATTTCAAAAAAGCATGTTTGTACATGTAAACTTGTTTTGGCACACTGGAAGGAACCTTAAAAAAAGGTCTGGCAGTCAACGTGTTAAATATGTATAATCCAATATTTTGTCTTTGAGAGAAGTAATTTATAATGATGTTTCAATTACACAGATTCAGCTGATATCCAACACGTTGAAGAAATATGACATGGCCATGGTGGTTGATGTGGAAAAAGTAGGCTCTGAGATCCTTTCACTGCCAATCATAGCAAAGTAAGTCTAAATATTGCAAATTCCTATCCATCTATAGAAAGCATTCGTACACCAGAGACATCTGATGAATGAAGTGAGCTCCATCATAGTCAATGGGATAAAAAGTCAGGATGTTTAAATTTTAAGGCATGAGTATGTGGGAATTATAGCTTTAAGATTCTTGTTTTATAATGAGAAAGCTAATTTTTCATATTTTTCATGCTAGATGCGTCGTTCCACCAGTTGTCATTGTCAGCCCGATCTTAGACTACACCCGCTGCTTCCTTGACTACCCATACGAACAGAGTGTGCAGCTGTTCAATGATTCTGACTTGCCAGCCAAGTACGATCTTGTTCCCCAGGTAAATGTAATAACAATTTAAAAAAAATGAACTATTTCAGATGTTGCTTTGAATGAAATTCATTGAATTTGTCTTATGTATCCCATATATAATTTATGGGTGTTTTTACAAACCCATGATTCAATTTCTGTATACTTGTAGGTGATTGGAGATCTGAGTACTATTTTGTACACAAGTCCTGAGCCAACTGGTATCATTCAGCCCCACTCAGTCATCGATATACCCCTGGTCATTACACCACAGGGCCTAGAAGAGCTGGAGGCAGTAGCAGAATTCAGTATATTTGGTTCCTCTGAGCTTCCACTAGTAAGTGATTCTTATAATTGTCTCTCTATCCTTAGGCCCTTTAATTTGTGAAATTATTTCTTTTATTCTTTTTATAAATTTTATGTACATTTTATATACATTTTATATTTTGTATGTATATTTTTATAAGCATTTCTAGACAATAATAATATAATACTGTCCACATTTTTCTCCCTACAGCAAGTACAGTTGATCTGTATAGGGGAGGGCCCAGTTGTACATGTGACCCCACATGAAATTGATTGGGGCCAGACTCAGGTTTTGACAGATGTTACAAGAACTGTAGAACTATCAAATGAGTCGTTGATTCCTGCAGAGTTTACCTGCTCACTGGTAAGGTTCTTTTATCAGTCCACCAATATCTTCATCTTGCTACAGATCCCTGGAATGTTTCCATCACTTCACCATTAGGGCATTGAAAAACATTGCTACTGAAATCTCTGTAGTTGTTTTTTTTTTTTGCTTTGTCTATTATCTGAAACCAAAGTATGTTATGTTTGTGTATCTTGTGCATAATTGTGTTTTCTTCCTTTAGTTACTTAGTCATGTAGTTTTAGGTCATTCTTACTGATTCTGACTCTTCTGTTACATTTATGCTCCTTCCATTAATGAATGTACACTTTCAAAAAACATTTGATGTACAATTATACTGACAAAATATACAAAATTGTCACAAAATTACTATTTTTTTCAGGTGAGACCAAATTCCTTATGGAAAGTGGAACCGGCAAGTGGTGTCATTCCACCAGAGGAAGCACTGGAAATTAAAGTAACCGTCAACTTGGATGACTGCATCAAGTAAGGACACATATACAGCTTTCCCTTATATTAAAGACCACTTTTGGGACTTTGAGTTTCATGGTGTTTAGCTGTCATGGTCTTAAATCAGAAAAAAAATCTTCTTAATAAAAATAAAAATAAATGCTCATTTGGGGATTGCAGAAAGGTGGTCTTCAATTTGAGAGGCCTGTCTTTAAATAGAGAGAGACCTATGTTCAAAATGATTATGCAAAAATTGATTAAAATTAGTTCATCATGGTCCCATCTGATCTGAGCCTAAAGCAATATACAGTAAAATACAATAATCATTATTTCGAGCAATAAACAAAATACATTAATACAATTCATGTCTTCTTAAATAAATTAGCAAGAAAAGGAGGAAACTGAAGTAAAAAAATGTATTTGATGTTTACAATAAGTACAATAATGTAGGGGTTATTCAACATTATCGACATTCTCAAAAGAGTACGCTAGGGGGAAGGGTAGACAATTTTGTACACTCTTACATGTGCATAAAAATGTTGATTCAAAATAATGTGCAATATGTAAAATAATAGTATTATAATGCAACCATGGATATAGTATTAATTTTTAAGCATCCAAGTACATTGCTTTAGTTGACTTTACAAAAAAATGGAGAATGGTTTTGAAAAATAAACATTTGTTGTACACTTTTAGAGGGGAAGGAGGAAGTACCGAAAAAGAGTACTGTTTGTACACTTTTGAAAATATTGATATGTAACTGTTAATTGAGTAATTTATCATCTGTGGCCATGTTTATTTTAGTTTCAAGTTCTAATTGTCTGATAATAAACTTCTATCAGATTATTTTATCACAGGCTGTAATTAACACAGCATGAGGTAGTTGATTTTTCTTCAAAAATAGCACACTGCTACTTCCTTTTAATGAAATCCGATTGTTTAATTTTATAATTTGTAATTTTATCGTGTGAAGAAATATGTTTATTTGAATTGAATATAATTAAATTGAATTCCTTAGCTCGCCATCCTCCGTTTAAACTAATGTTAAATCAGTTATCACTATACTAAATTGGATTTTATTTCTCTAGTTTGTATTTTTATTTTTTTCATAGGTTCCATGATAAGCTAGCTATAAGCTTTGTCAATAGCCAAGTGCATGTTGTCAAATTGCATGCAGTCGGTTTTGGTACCACAATTGTATCGAACCCACCGATGACACCGTCAATAAACCTGGGGCATCATTTTAGGTAAGTCCAACTATATATCTGAGCATAGATGAAAATAACATTATATTTATTATTTGTACTGAAGAACTCTTTCAGTATGAAAAACATATACAGTAGAACCCCTCCTTTGGGACATTCCTATTAAGGGGGATCAACTAAGGGGATACATTTTCAGCTACGATACGGGTGAAAGTATAGCTTTTAACACTACTTTCAACCTCTATTCAGGGGTCAATCGTCCTGTCAAGGGGATGCTGTTTTTTGATCCTGAAGGTGTCCCATTAATAGGTGTTCATTGCCATGCATCAAAGCACATTGACATTTCAGTGTATTGCGAACTACATTTGCATTTACTTAACAAACTTATTATTTTGATAATTGTTGAACAGCAATAGATCTTGCAAGAGAATGTTCACGTTGACAAATAAGGGGCGAAGGCATCAGCAGATGTTCTGGAGTACCGAAGGGTTCCCTCACATCAAGACCAAAAATAAAGATGCATTTTACAATCCAAAAGATGTGAAATACCAGGTAAGCTGAGGAGTAGAGCAGTGATTTTTATTTAGGTTCTGTGCTCAGTTTTGTTTAAAATTTTATGGATTTGTCACACAACCAAAAACAACTCCATTCTCCAAGCTTCACAAGGATACTTTACCCAATAAATAATTTTTTTAAAAATATTTAACACAAATCACTGGATACAGTAGATCACTCTAATAGATATTTATTTGTGAAATAAAAATTTAAATCAGAGGCTATTCGCAAACCAATCTCACTGTATATTTTGTTTAATTGTTTCTAATACTCCCAAATCTGCAATTTCTGCCTTAAAGGTGTGGTGGAGTACTAACTAATATCTTTTTACTGAAAATAATCAATTTGTAATTTGCCACTAAATATACTGTGTGTTTTTGTTCAGCGTATGCCACCACCTCCGCCGCCACCAAGGCCGGTCTTCACGCTGACACCATCAAGATTTGAGTTGGATCCAGGCCAGAGCATTGAGGTTGTACTGGATGGACAGTCTGATGAGTAAGTATTTAAAGATAGTGCATTCGAATCCCGAAAAGAATGATGCTCATGAAAGTATAATAATAATTTAAATTTTAATTACATTTTGTTTATTCGTGGAGTTCATGCTCCATCACATAATTTGCTCCCATCACATATTTTGGTAGTTATATTCTAAGTTTGTTGTTGTGGTTAATTTTACTTTGAGTTTAAAAGCAATCTAAGTTTGCAATGTTTCTGCTTTTGACCATATGGATATGCCCAAGTTTCATTTGCTAAAATCATGTTTTCTCGAATGAGGACTTGAAGTTGTAGGCCTAGTGTCCACTTCCTCTAACTTGTGATCCAGAACATCCTTCAAGAACAGCAGAAAGTTCACTTGATGTGGTTCACATTTCCCCCTGTAGATGAGATGTTTTTATTCCTACCGACAGCAGCATAAGAAGATTGGACCCTTTGTGTAGTGAAATAAGTTTTTCCAATTTTTTCTTAACAAGAAAAAGACCTGAATAAGTGCTTGCAACATGTAGAAACGGTTGGGGCGGCAGTTAATGCTTGGATTTTGAGGTCAGGGGTGCATGTGAGTGATACCCTTGCTATTGCTTGCTTGCTATGATATTACACATCTTGTTTTGTTGTTTAGGACCAAGCTGGTGAAGGAGAGACTGGTGTGCCATGCCATCATTGGAAAGTCTAGTGGCAAGGAAAAGATCATGAAGACAGATATCTCCATTAATTTCATTAGTCCTCTGTTGGAGTTTTCATCTAAACAAGTGTGCTTCAGAGTTGATAAGGTATTTAAATATTCATTTGTTTAATTTTTTAATCATTATTATTTTTATCATTGAAACTACCATCATCATCATCATCATCACTAGTTCTATCATCACTACTATTGTTTTTATCACCATTATCATCATCGTCGTCATCATCATCACCATCATCATCATCATCATCATAATCATCATCATCATCATCATCATCATCATAATCATCATCATCATTATTATCATCATTATCACTACTTTTATCATCTACATCATTACCATTATCATCTTAAATGCTCATTAATTTGGCCATCATAGTCATTGTCATCATTATAATAATTGTCATCATCAAGTAAGTTTGTCAACACTGTTAAAATAAATACAAATATACAGGTACATAGGGATGATTATAGGTGTGATTTATATATTAATTAACATTAACATAATAATGTCTGTCTTACCTGCTATTTTTTTCAATGCTGTTACCTACATGTATACTCATTTTTATTGTCTACAGCATCCAGATGATGTTCTGGAGAAGCAAGTCGGTGAGCTTGAATTTTCCAACGTCTCATCACTTCCGCTGACCACACTCGTAAGCCTGGAGTACCCATTCCAACTGGTCAATGAAAATGGGGATGAGGTTGCATCCATGGTAAGAACCTATTGAAAATTTCATAAAAATATGTCAATGTTATGGAGAAGTGGCATAGTGGTTGAAGTGCTTGCCCTCAAAAACCAAGTTCCTGGGTTCAAGTTCTGTGAAAACAAGAACTTTCTTAAGCCCTGTCCAGACAAAAGCATGTTATATGGTCATGATGACATCACATCATGGCCATATATAGGCACATCATGAATATATATGGGCATACAAACTGTTTCTTTTGCCAAAGAATATTTCATAGTCAGAAAGAGCATTAAATAATCAATTGTATTCTCAGACTGTAGGTGGCACTGAATGTTGAAAACTAAGCAAATAAAGTAAAATATATGCAAATTAGGTAATTTAAAAAGAGCAGAGTAATTTGAATATTTTATTTTGGCTGATACGTCTTTCACAAGTCTCATGATTTGAGTTTTAAGTTTTGAGCGACTAGAATGTGCACAATGGTTTATATCTACTCTTTTTATTATTTGATTTAAATAGATAATATAAAGCTTAAATAAGAATGTAATGTTTTGCTTTAGTACATATGAAACTATGTAAAATGTTTTGTAATGTTATTTTTTTTGTTTACCTTGATAGGAGATTCCAGTTGGTGTTGGTGAAATTTATAAACTAACTCTACAGTTTGATCCAGCTTATGAGGAAGATTCCGTGTCAAGGGTCGCTGAGAAGGTGCTCACAATTAGTTACCTCGAGCACCCTCATATTGTAAGTGATAGTAATGAATTTTAGTAATACTTTTTTTGCATTATTGTTGTTTTTGATACGTTTCTCAGGTTGCTGTTTGCAAGATTGAGCAGAATCATAAATTTTTAGATAGGGAAGTGAGCTCATGTTTATTTTGAACTTTGATGACATCACACAGCAATGTGAAAAATTAGTTGATAGAATAATGCATTGCTATCTTCCTTAATAACTTTCAGGATTATATCAGTCTTCGTGGTGAGGTATTCTTCCCGAACCTGACATTTGAAAAAATGACTGTCGACTTTGGTTGTATACTGAATGACACGGAGGTGACACGCTACGTTAACATCACCAATGACAGTCCCATGCCAGTCAGGTAACTATTAATCCTGCTCTGTTAATCCTGTATAATTTGTTTGTATAGAGTAACCCTTCACGCAGTCTTGTAACTCCTTGTTTTAAATTGAGATAATAATAATATTAGCCAAAATATTCTGAAACTCCAATTTAAAAGCAACTCTATATCTGTAGAATGAATAACACTTTGTATATGTAAAGTCAAAACATGATTTTTAAAACTCTACTATTTTCAAAAATATGAAATATATATAAAAAAGTATGTTAGTGTATGACAATGTGCCATTGTCTTTCTGTGTATTATAATAAAATAGTTATACTTTGTTTAGTACAACTTGGTTCTTAAAAATATGTTTCAGTTAAAATAAAATAAGTGTTTTTTTTTTTTGTTTTTTTTTAAAATATGATTAGATGAAAATATAGATGTTTTTTCATAGGTTTAAAAATACTGGCATATATTGTTATTTATTAGTCTTCTGAAATTTGACTATATTTTCTTACTACCAAGGTACCGCTGGTCATTCCTAGAACCGGAACAACCCATTGTATTGTACCCACAACCAATACCACAAGAACAAATAGAGGAAGAGATGATGGAAGATAACCCATTGTTAGATCAACCTCCAATCATAATGGAAGAGCTGTTACATGACGATGCAGAGAATGTCACTGAGAAAGGAGAACAGTGCAATACTGAAGACCTACTTACAGTAAGCAACTGTTTTTATTTATATCTTATTTATGTTTTTCATTATTATTATTATTATTATTATTATTATTATTATTATTATTATTATTATATTGTTAATTATTTTATTTATTCCTTTATACTTTGACTTAGTTATTCATTTGCACTATGTTGTCACACTAAGAGTACTTTTTTCTTAATACAGATTTTCTTTTTATTGTATAAGCTAAACTTGTTCTAAAATTATGCAATTGACTTGTCTAATTTCTACCTGTGCTTAGAACATTAAGTTATAGTTTGAATTTTTATGCACAGGATTTATTTCTACTCATGAGGCATGGACCAATACTCAGAAACCTAAGTGAGAATAACATTTTACAAAGTAAATATAACAATAATTATGTTCTTCCCTTTATCAAACAGCAAACTGACAATACAGAGTATGAACAAAAGGACTTGATCCTGCCTCCAGGAGAAATGGAAGACAAGGTGGAGAAGAAAGAAGAAAAGAAGGACCACGAAAAGAAAGAGAAAGACAATGAACAACACGAAAAGAAGAAAGGATCACGAAAGAGTCCACGAAAATCAACAAGTAAAAGTGGATCAAAATCTGGTAAATCCAGCAAGCTGACCGTTGATAAAAAGGACGCGGAGAAGGATGAGGTGATTAGCACTGTGGTGGAACCGTCGCAGGAGACGGTTGAGACACTGACGGATGAGAAGACCCTCCCGGAGAGGATCCCGAGTAGTAGGTTGTCTATCCGGCCAGCCAGTGTGGCTAGGAAGAGGAAGGCAAAGCTGGCCTACATCCAGACAATTACTGAGCCTACTGTAGTGGGCATAGAAGAGGTATGAACCATAATACAGTAGAACCCCTATTAAGGGGACACCTTTGAGACTAAAAAAGTGTCCCCTTAATTGATGTGTACCCTGCAAAGGCGTTGGCCGTAGTGTTAATAGATATGCTTTCCCTCATGTTGTGGCTGAAAAAGTGTCCCATTAATAGTGTATTAAAAGATGGAGCCGTATATAGTCAATAGCCATCTTCATCAGGTAAATTAATAGGGGTGTCTCAAAAGAGGGTTTCTACTGTACTTCTGTTGTTCAATACATAGTTTGTATCTAAATGAAAAATTTCATCAACCAAATTATTAAATTTTCTACTTAAAATGATAGTGTTTGTGTTAAGCTAAAGGAAATGAAAAACAAAAATGAAAAATTTGCATTGCAACAAACAGCATTAAATTGTATTTACTCTTTAATGTATGTTAATTCACCTTGCAAGTCACTGGGAAGTTTTTGGTAAACTTATATTGTTAATTTAAAGTCATTTATCAAGATAAGACCTCCTAAAATCAACTACAGTACCTAACTATTGTCAAATAATTACATTTCAGGTTTTTGACATTTTGCCTCTGTATGGTTGCCTGATGCCTGGAGATTCAGATACTGTTACTTTCACGTTTTATGGACACACTGACATTGGTAGCGAGGCCAAAGCCCTTTGTGATGTTGAGGGCGGACCTCAGTACGAATTGAGCTTAAAGGGGGAAGCTTCCCTTGTCTGCTATTCTTTCGACTCCAAAGAGATTGACTTTGGAAAGAGAGTAAGTAACTTTATAAAATAATGAAGACAAAGACATCGAGAACGAAAATGACAACTGATACTGAGAAGGGCAGCAATGAGAATGACGATAGCTTGACATGTACTTTACAAAACAAGTTCTCGTAATCTCGAGAGCTCCGACAGTGTAATAGATGCAGTAGAGGTAAAAAATGATCTGTTAATCAATCATTATTAATCAATCAACTGAGTGTTTCTAGAGCTCCTCGTGAGAGCAGTATAGTTGAGGCAGTAGATTTAAAAAAAGATCTATTAATCAAAAATTAATAAGCAATTATCACATTTGAATTGTTTTTGCAGATGTTTGACCAAGTCAATGAAGCCGACATTGTTCTGCGTAATACTGGAAAAGTTGGATTTGATTTTAACGCCATCAACATGGACCCTGCATTTATAAAACGCCCTTCTCCCGGTGTTCCGGTCATGATCCCAAATTCAGGCCATATTGAAGCCCACAGTGAACAGCGTCTTACAATCAAGTTTCTTCCTGGAATTCCAGTCAAATTCCATAAAAGTTTTGAGATCCAGGTGGCCCACTTTGAACCCGACTGTATCAATCTCTACGGAGAAGGTGTGTTCCCACGAGTATCCTTTGACCTTCCCAGATACGGAGACATCGAGGGAAAATATGATGAGCTACTGAAGGAAGCGAAGGAAAATCTAGGCCGAGATGTGAAGAAGTGTGATAAGAATGAGAGGCCTGCTACTCCTCAACAGACTGTGACTCCTAGAGATCCAGCTCAGGAGGATGCCAAGTCAATATGTTCAATGCAGGTACGACTTTCCAATAAACCATCAAGAGTCTTCTTTCTACATTGTTTTCTAGTTTAAACTAATACATATAGCTCATCACTGCTTTGATTCTGAATGTAATTTTAGACCAGATTGTAGACCAACAACGCCACTTCTGATTTGTGGGATTTATTTTTAGATTTTTTAAAAATATGATAGTTTTAGCTTTAGAATAAACTAAATCATATGTTGAGACCTAAATCGTGTGTCAATATTATTTCTTTACTTGGTTAAAAAGTTTTTTCCATTTTTTGCAACCCCTTAGCAGAGTTTTGTGACACTGTAGAGCAATTTATGTGACAAATATGGGTGATTCACCCATATATAGGCATGATGATGTCATAGAAAACTCTTTTATGATTTATTTGCTTTTTACCATATTTTCTGTTAGCTGCAGTCGGAGTTTCCGTCCGAGCTTGAGCTCCAAATCGAAGTTGAAAGACTGATGGTGAAAGAGTTTTCTTTAGATCAACAGCAGAACATCCAGAACAGAGAGCCAGTCCCTCCGGCTTCTACTCAAGAGGCTAGGAATGGACCAACTCCACGTACGGGCTTAACAACTAGTCTTACCAATCGTAGCAAGAGGGCTAAAAAACCAAAGTAAGATCTACTATGCATGACTAATTAAAAGATATACAAAAACAATTTACAGGGTAAATGAGCACTGAAAATATCAAAGTTCAGAGTAATTTCATTGTCCACAATAATATTATTATGACCGCTGAACTTATTCATATTTTTCTTTCAGAGCCCGTTTACCTGATTATATTCTTGACTTTGGATACGTTGTTCTAGGCACTGTGCGTACACACATTGTCAGGGCTACCAATACTGGACATTTTCCTGTGTCTTTTGCTGTCGACCGCAGCACGCTAAACATGACCGGGTTCAATGTAGAACTTGACCGTGTCAAGCAGTTACCTGGAGCACCAGATCATGAGACGGTAGACTTCAGGGTCAGCTTTGACCCAAGAGGTGGAAACGTGAATTTAGGAGTGGTTGAAGCACTGGTCCCAATTATGGTAACCGCAACAGTTTTGTTTTAAGTTCTTCATATCTTTATTTATTATGATCAACAATACTGCTACTAATAATGGTTAAAGCCAGGCTCCAGAGAGAAAATTTTTTTTTTTTTATATACTGTTCAACTCATGTTTCTGAGGCACTGGAGGGGTATTTTAATGAAAAAACTTGGGAACGGTTATAGATATAGATTTTTGAAGATTTCAAAACTGGAGGGAAAATATTTAAATTTCATCAACCATTCCCAACACCTCCCCAGTTGTACTACATATCAACAAATGTTTCCCTCCGTAGCCTGGCTTCAATGATTAGACAAAAAATACTTCAGAAAAAAACTTCGCTTCCTTAATGGAAAAAAAAAGTTTTTGTGCTTGAAAAACTTAAGGGCAATAAAGAAACAAATTGTTCTAAAAAATAAGAAAGAAACTACAAACAAGATAAAATAAAAACTTTGAAGGCCTACAAGTCCATATTTTTTCAATCTCATACTCCCTTTCCTTTAGATTGTGAATGGTCCATCCGTGCTCCTGAGATTGAAGGCCAATGTCACCATGCCAGATATGCAGATTTCCACAGACTCGATGGACTTTGGCGAGGTTCAGTGCGGCCAGTGTAAGGTCATCACTGTCCAGTTACACAACAACCAACATGTTCGCTGTGAGTGGTCATCCTTACCATCAGATAAGGATAAGAAAAAGGTTAGTTGCTAGTAAATATGGTATTTGTATTGGTCAGTGATTGCTAGAATTTTAAGAATGAAATCTGTCAAAAAATGGATACCTACCACATTTCTCTTGTAATGAAACTCTTCATTTGGTGGTAAACACAATTGTTTTGAAGTTTTTTTTTTTTTACCAGTTTTCACTTAAACCTTACACTAGATATCCTTAGCTTGCTTATTGTCCAATATGACCCCCGCAAGTGTAAGGCCACTTCATTTTTGATTTTGTCAATTGTGGGCTTATACTTGAGTAGGTAGAATCCATTTCCATTTTATAATTATATTCATAATATGAAAAGTATTTTTGTATAGTATCTGGTTATGAACATGTTTTGTCAAATATGTAAATATTTTAATTTCATGAATTACTTCCCAGGAGAAACCTGTTACTGCTTCCAAAAAGGTATTTCAGTCAATCTGATATCGCCATGGTTATTTCTTGTGCTACTATAATTCTTGCGTCATTATAAAACTTTCTGTTAATATAAACATTTTTCTTAAGTAGTGTTCCAGAATGATGTAAAATTTTCTTAGTCTTTGTACTCTGTATCGCTTCTCTTTTTCATGCAATGGAGGCTCTAGAAATGTGCCTACGGGATGGCCAACAAGTCCAAAAGGGAGTTCAAAGGTCATTAAGTAAAGATCCTGGAGTAATAATAATTCTTTATTTGTCCTCATTGAAATTGGAAACTTTCACTGGGCTCTTGGGGACCCAAATTAACTACTGTACATGCAACGGTTACGTACAGATACGAACATGGTCCTTGCTTGCCTAAACTGTCAATATGAGGTTTATTCGAAGATCAAAGCAATTAGACTCCAATTAAAACCTGACGCTGGCTGGGTTTGGACCAGGGTCTACAGCACAAGAGGCAGGAACAAAGCCTTTTGGCCAACCTCTCAGCTCCAGTACAACCTAGTTGGGGTCAAGAGGCGATTTTGTGGTTAATGATGATATAAAACTGTGCTTTTAGACCATATTATCAGGAATAATTCCAATCATAATAACTTTTGCTGGATTGGAAAATAATTGTTTTTATTATGACGACCTCTATGGAAATTTCTCCTCTGACCTTTAACGGGTGCTCTCACTGCTTTACGCCACTTTATTGGTGGTATGGAATTCTACGATCTTGCCTGCTTCATTGTTGACATAAGTTTATTGCTATGGCAACTTAAAATTGGTAGCACGCGTATAGCACTCTTCTCGTTGAATATCATCTTGGTTTCAAAAGAGGCTGTTAGTTTTAAGTTTTTAGAATAGAGTATTAAATCTGACCATTTTTCTGATTGGAGGATACCATTTGTTGAGAAAAAAAAGATAAAATCTGATTTAAGATAATTATTCTACTTGGTAGTGTATAAACAGGGGCGTACCAGAACCTTATGGTGGTGGGGAATGAGTCAAAGTAATTAAATTAAATATTTGTGAGCTTTCCACTACACAAGCATTGTTGATATCATAACTAAAGGCCATGTTTTCGCAGCACTTATCGATAAATTATTGGAAAGCAGCTATTTTGTTATTTTTTGCTGTGGAAATGAGGCTCAAAGCTTCCAATAAATGTTTTGTTTCAGAATCAGATAATTTATCTGAAAAAGCTCCGAATATACAATTAAATAACCTTTGACCGATGTGATGTCAAATCACAGTCATGCAAAGAATTATTTTGGGTAGTTCCTACTAGCCAAATTAGGGGGCCTAGGGGTAGTATTAAACACTTCATAATAAAAAAAAAGTGAGTAAATTTATCATGCTTTTTAGATACAGTATTTATAAAAAAATCCTCAACTGGCTGCACTTGACGTTGATGGTGCCTGGCTGGGCCCAGGTCTATCCCTACCTATCATTTATTGTACAGTAACGCACATCAATCAACTCTAGCCTTCTTTTTTGTCTTCCTTTAAATCAATTAATAGAAGTACAATCAAATACCATTGTGACAGTATATTTCCTAGGGTGAAATTGTACTGAATGATTTCGTTCTTGGCTTAAGCCTATCCATCCTGTGCAAAATAAGTATCACCTGCTAGTTCAACAAAATGGATGTTTTGATGTGGAACACATTGCATTGTTGTCCATAATATTGCATGATGGGATCATATATTTGGCGGGAATTTTAAGATAATTTATTGGAGAAATTATTAAGTGCTGCGGGGATACGGCCTAGCAAATAAATATAATCCTGAATGTAGTGTATATAAATAAGTAGTCACGGTTGCATGATTGTTGTTTAATGTATTCTGTTTCTTCATCCTTGCATGAAAGAATGTGTTAATGAAAAAATATACGATATGCTCTACTTTTTGCTTTCACCAATACTCCATCGTTTTATTACATCATTTTTCACATCCTTTCATCTGCATTTCCTAATGTTTCATTGTGTTTGTCAGTGTTCAAAGATTCTTAAGCCACTGAAAGGATGGAACAGTGGTAAAATCTTAACCAAGGCATTATTTTTTTTAGTTACCATTTAATAATATCCTATAACTCTTAAGCATTGTCCAGATTATCAAATTTTCTTTGACAAAAAATTTTTTTATGCCCATATATAGTCATGATGTGTCTATATATGGTCATGATGTGATGTCATCATGACCATATTTAGGTATGTCACATGTTTTTGTCAAATAAAATTTGATAATGTGGACAGGACTTTATATTAGGGCTTCCAAACTTTACAGTTATTCCATCAAGAAATAAAATTATTGTTCTGTAGCTTGTAGGTCACTGGAATACTTATGGGTAGTGGCTTTAGAATTTGCTCAGTAGCTCGCTTCTTCTTTATATTCAGTTTTAGATTATTGTTATTTGATGCTTATTCAACAACAAGTCACTCATTACTTACAGGATGAAAGTGATTTAGTATACCAGTGGCGGGTGACGTTTCTCATACCAAAGAAATCATGTGATTTACTTATAATATGAGGCTTGTCATCCCAAAACCAGCAACTTTCACTATATTTTTTTTAACTGAATAATTAGCAAGAATTTGGCAGTATTTGTATTCTTCAGTACAGACAAGACGTAATACTTTTTCTCTTCACTTTGGCAATAGTATGCTGATTCTACTAAATAACCCATCATTTTAAAGCTTATAATGTGGTCAATTTTGGCCATTGATGCTGGTTTCAGGATAGCATGCCCCTAAATGATCATGAATGCACATTGTAATCAATCATGTGCTCTTGTTTTATAATAATGTCTTAGATTGATAAGCATGTGCCAATGCATCTCCGGCGGAAGATGAAACCAGAAAAACCTAAGCCAAGAAACTTTGAGATGATGCCATCTACAGGCATGTTGTTTCCAGGACAAAGGCTGAACGTACAAGTCAAGTTTATGCCAACAGAAGAGATAATAATAATAATAATAATAATAATAATAATAATAATAATAATAATAACAATAATAATAATAATAATAATAATAATTCTGGATTTACATAGCGCCTCACAAACAAATAACAAAAAAATTAAAAAAAATATTTAAAAAATAAAAAATTGAGATAATGGCATCTACAGGCATGTTGTTTCCAGCACAGAGGCTGAACGTACAAGTCAAGTTTATGCCAACAGAAGAGGTAAAAATAATAATAATAATAATAATAATAATAACAATAATAATAATTCTGGATTTATATGGCACCTCACAAACAAATAACAAAAAAATAAAAAAATAAATAAATAAAAAAATAAAAGTAATAAATAACAAAGTTTGGCCTAGAAAATTGGTAATATACTTTGAATAAAAAAAAGTAGAACTGGAGGAGCAGTCTTTGAATAATGTGTAGTGAATCATTATTTTAATTTTGTCTACTAATAGAAAATCTATGCTGAGCGGATAGTGATCCGACTGGCACGAAGCAGTCAACGAATTACATTGATGGCCAATGGAGTAGGCTTAGAGCCTAGGCTTGAGTTTGGCCAAACCCTGATTGAGTTTGGTCCAATCCTGCCACACAGCCAAGGTGATGAAGTAGACGTCATTGTGAAGAATCCTTGTGGATTTCCAATTGAATTCTATTCATTGGAATTTGACAAACAATATTTGGAAGAAGAAAAGGTTTGAAAATTTAGTTTTATTGAATTTTTAAGTGTTTTTTTTTATGTGTAGACAGTACAAATCTATGCTTACAATAATTACTGTGGATGTGAATAGACATAGACATAAGAATATACAGTATGAACAAATAACAACCAACCAATCATGAACCAAACATCCAACCAACCAACCAACTAACCAACCCAAAAAGGGAATCCCAAATCAACTATACAACCTACCCAAAACTAAAAAACAACCACCCAAATATAACCAACCAAAGCAATGCAGTAATCAACCAATAAAACCAACCAACCAAACCAACCTAATCAATCTAACTAATCATGAACCAACCATCCAACCAACCAACCAACCAAAAAAGTCAACCCCAAATCAACTATACAACCAACCCAAAAACTAGAACCAAAAAGAACCAACCACACAACCAACTAAAAGCAACCAACCAAACCAACCAACCGACAAAAGCGGACCAAATAACCAAACTAATCCAAACAGAGGAAATAAATAAGTTCCAAGTTCAAAAGTTCAAAGTATATAAGTAAACTCTCAAATAGCCACCTATTGTCAAAATCAAACAGATTGGTGCCCAATTAAATTTACATACAGACATCATGTATCATTTAATATTAATGAAATGATATGATCAGAATGTTGGTTGAATGTGGGTAAGCCAATGGCTGATGAAATTATATCTAAATGAATTTTTCCAATCCATGCAAATTTTAATCCATTGAATACTCACTAAATATATGTTTGACTATTCATCTTAAAATAAGTTTATCAGAATTTAAACTAATCATATTTTATTAATGGTATTGTAATTTACTGTTTATTACATTTCTCTAATTCTAATATTCTTCAATTTTATTTTTAGATACTCCGTCTGATGAAGGGTTATGATGAGTACGGCACCATCTTGTTACCCCCAAGGGATGCCGGTGATAAGCTTCCGCAGGAACTTCTTGAATATTTTGAAGAACAGAAAAAGAAGGTTGAAGAAGAGGAGCAGAAGGAAAAAGAGGAGGCAGAAGCAGCAGCTGCAGCTGCTGCGGCCGCTGCAGAGACTGCAGCTAAACAAGAAGGTACAACATCAAATACCTAGCAACAAAAAGGCCACACACCACAAAACCGCAATGTAAAAACATAAGCCACCATGCACTCCCGAAAGGTTCATTACAGAGGTAGTCATTATCATTAGGGAGCTTTCGGTTTTCCGCGATGCAAACACTAGAATGGATTCACTCATCCGCGAACGTCTTGCGTTCTACACCAGAAAGGAATACACTCCTTCGTAACGGAATACACTCCTTCGTGACGGTTCTACTTTCTCTGCATAATGTAGATTCTGGCCAAACTGCGTCATAGAATCCAGGTGGCAAGGAAAACTCAACTTTCCCGCAAGATTTATGATTTAGAACTAAACAAAAAAAATGCAAATAATCACCTATTTCTATACTTTTCAATCAGTCTGCATTTTAACATATAAAATTAGTTTACACAGGCAGTCACTTCAAAATACAAATTGTTTAACATCATTATTTATCTGGCACTAAATTGACGTTATTCAAGACAGGCTACCACTTTCGCTTTTAAGGATAATTTTTCTAAATTTTGTCCATGTGCAATGGATCTTTCCGCTATGCCCGCCACTTGGATATTATTGCTAAGGTCACGCAAAACAATAACATTAAAGTATACATAAACGTGCGTTTTTGGGACAAAATGTGTGTTTGTCAGACACACCCATATTTCTGACCCTGTTCTGATTGGTCAGTTGTTATGTTTGATTGACAATCTGGAATTGTCTATTTTCCTTGGTTCCTACAGGCGAAGAAGCTACTGCAGCTACCAGTGAGAAGCGTTTGTCATTTGATGGTGTGGCTCTTGGTCAAGGTTCTATCATGGTAGGCTCAGGCCCTCATCTAGCCACTGACCAAGAAAAGAAAGCAGTGGTCAAAGAAGGTGAATTGACAGAGGGAGAAAAGTTGATGGAGCTTAAGGAACAAATTCCCCAAGGTAGGAGTTTTGTTTAGCGCTGTCTGCCCATATATTGTCATGATGCTCCTATATATGGTCATGATGTGATGTCATCATGACCATTTTTGGGCATGCTACATGTTTTTGTCAATAATCTAGTTGAAAATGAGTAAAACTTTATACAGCATTTATATCAAGAAATTTAGAAAATAGTGTTTGATTTCGGTTATCTTTTTGCCTACTGCCTTCTTTTATTTAACTGCAAGGCACTTTATCAATTTACGGCAGCTTCACACTGGCTTTTTTTTTTTTTGACTTACAGGTGAAAATAAGAAGGATGATGTTAGCAGCCTTGGTGTTGGTGAACTTCAAGAGATAACTCCAGTGTCAGCAGCTATTGCTCGCCATCTCGGCATAGATCTGTCACCAGATGGCAAGGCAGCGATGAGAAGACGAGGAGTCGCCATTGTCGTTCATGGTGCCCCATTGTCCGGTAGAAAACATTAATAATCCTACACAATGTGAATCTATTGATGCATTTCAAATATATACAGTATATTTAATACCAAAATGCATTTAATCCATCCCTGCTGACCACACAATCAAGGTCTAAAAGTACATGTGATTTACCCATAACAGATGTTATGACATCACCATGCCTATATGGGTGTAATATGATATAATTAGTATGCTCATATATGTCAAATCATACATATTTGTGACATAATACCTCATAGTGAGGATAGATGTTTAGAGTAGATAGTTCTTGATGGAGAAAGACAATATATGTAACTCAAGGACTGTGATGCTTATATAAAAAACCGCTGGGGCTGTTTTTCCTCTCTAAATTATTCAGCAATTTTCTATGTTTCATCATCTTTTCGTAGGTAAAACATCTACAGCTATCACCCTAGCCAAATACTATGAGGCAGCACTTCTTACCATTGACGGTGTTGTTCTGGAAGCCATATCTAATTGCAACTCCATCCCAGGCCAGAAGGCCCGAGAACTCTGCTCACAGGCTGCCAAGGCCCAGCTTATCAAGGAAGGTGAAGGGAATGAAGCTCAAGGAATGACTGCAGCTGGAGGCCTAAGTGTAGAAGCTGTCACTGCTCACGCAATGGGCACTGGCTCAGGTATATGTATATATGGGAGGAGATGAACGTGAAACTAACATTGAATATTATTACCTTGACTGTATATGAGAGAAACGTATATTCTTACACATCCTTAAATGTTTTAATATTTATTTCACTGCACCAAACATTGCTATAAAATGTTCTCAGTAGTAAACAATTTCATAAATCTCAAATACTTATGGTACTCCTACCTATTTCCCATTTTTTTCTTGTTCCATTTGCCTCCATCAAAATCAACAAGAATGTTTGAGGCTTTATAATAAATAATGTAATAATGATTTTGCTTAAAATGCCTAAATTACAACTTTTTTTACTGTGTTTTTAAAGGTGAGTTTGAGAATTATTAACCCTGGAGATTACAGATTTTTTTTATGAATAAAGGCCAGCTCAGGCAGTGTCGCACAATGCAGTCCGATTTTATTTTTTTGTCGCATTAGGTCTGTGTGATTCTATTTTTTTGTCGCATTAGGTCTGTGTCATTCTATTTTTTTGTCTCATTGGGTCTGTGTGAGTTAAACACAGACGTGATGGTTTGCAACGGGGACAGTCGCGTCATAGAATATTAAACATGTTTAATATTTCTCACAACGGCTTAAGACTGTCTCCCACGACAAATCATATCCAGCATCGTACGACACTTGTCTGAATTGGCCTTTAGGTTGCATTGATTGACAATATTTCAATCACTTTTTTCCTAAATGCCAAAATTAAGGTTCTGTCAGCGTTGGTGGTGCCCATAGCGTCATCAGCAACCGCAAGACCAGCACAATATCTGGCCACAAGCCAGCGCACAGTACCCAGCTAGAGAGTTATGAGAAGCCAGGTAGGAGGGACAGGAAACAGGAGGTTGATAATGCCACGCAGATCTCCAGCAGTCCAACGCCAGCAGCTCCTATTGCCAGGAGGCTTAGCGTGTCGGCTAGCGTGGCTGGGGAGGAGGGCCTGATGAGTTGTGTCCTGCCAGATGAGTTGCTTGTTGAGATTCTGGCAGAGAGACTTCAAGTATGTAATAAACATGTTTGTTATACAGTACTAATAATATAAATAATGATGATAATTTTATACTTTTATTGTTAGTGATACTATTATTTTTATGGTATTATTAGTGCTTATTATGGTTTTTGATATTATTGTAGTTGTTGTTGTGTTTGTTGTGTTGCTTTTTCTGTCATTACTGATGTTTTATTATTTTGTGGTACATAGTGGTTGGAGTAGTATCTTACCTTATCTTATAATTAGTATTAACTTTAATTTCAGCTCAACGATTGTCACCGCGGTATTGTGTTTGATGGTCTTGAGACATTGTTTAGTCCAAACCAACCGGCTACCGCCAGTGCATTGCTAAAGGCTTTCAATAATCGCAAATACATATACTTCATCACCCTAAAATTGGAACAGGCTGTATTGCAAGCACGAGAGAAAAAAGAGAAGGAGGAAAAAGGTAAAATGAGTTAAATTTTATAATAAATATTAATAATAATCATGTTCATTTATAATTTTATTATGATGCCATGAATAATGGGCAACCTCCTTGGACTCATGACCTTTCGATTATAAGACCAAAGTATTCCTGCTTTACCAAATGCTTTATTATTAGGCTTAACGTGTTAAATTAATCAAAATCATCTTTTGGCAAATGTTATTATTTGAAAATGTTTTAAAGATACACTATCACCATAATATCATTAATTGTCTTATTTGCATATTTCAATAAATAGTCTGCTTTCAACTGAAATTTAAGAAGAAACTTACATTTGCTAATTCAAGGATATTAAACAATATTATTCCTATGATCTATGTATGATACATTTAAAATAAAAAAAATTGGCCTTGGGTGGGTGGGGGGATGGAAGAGGCTGCTGTAAAACCATGAGTTACTTTACCATTACTTTTTCTTAAATCTTTGATTATGTTGTTCCTCTATAAAAAAGCAAATAGTTTTTCACCATCATTTTTGTTTCAGAATTGTTGGAGAAGCAACAGGAAGAAGAGGAGAAACAAAGACTTGAAGAGATGTCAGAAGAAGAGTATGATGCTCTTGATGAAGAGGAGAAAGCTGCCATTGATCTCAAGAGGCTGAAAGCCAAGAAAGAAAGATTATTAAAAAAGTAGGCTGATAATAAATAGATATCTCATATGAAATAAATTTATCCAAATCATTTGTGTCTGCCAAGGTCTATATTAAATTGTACTTATTTTGCATATTCTGTATTCTTCTCTTCTCTGTCATGGAATGAAATCTATATTACAAATGAATTCTATAATTTAATTTTAACACCCGACAAGAATATTTAATGGATGTTATTGATTTATTTAATGTTGAAAGACTTTATTATTAATTTTGTAAATGCTTTTGCTGTGATTTTACAGAGAAATGGAAGAACGTCTGGAAAGAGAGAGAAAAGAAAAGGAACTTGCTGCCTTGATCGAGTTACAAAAACTAGAAGATGAAAAGTAAGAACATTTTAATTCTATTCTGTTTAATCAATTTCAGTGGTGTTCCAGTAAAGAAACATTATCAGCACATTACACAAATATCAAAGAGTCTTCATTGGCTGCCTATTATGTAACGTATTCAAAATCCTTTTTTTTAAACATACACATATCTCCATGGCATTGCTCTTTTCTACACTGAAAACTTAGTTCATCTTCGGTCTAGTTAATGCAGCCATTCACTCAGATCTACCACCAGCACGTTTGTTCTTCACACTCAATGTAGTCAATTAAAATATTATGTGACAGAGCATTTTCTGTTGCTGCGCCATTACTATGGAATTCTTTGCCTTTTGAAGTTCGCAATTCCAATTCTCTCAACACTTTCAAAAACCATCTAAAAATATCTTTTTTCACTAAACAGCACAATTGAGACTTTGTTTATGGCAAATTTATATGCATTAAGGCCAACTCGGACAGCATCATACGACGGCAGCCCAACGTGATTTGATGTTGATTATTTTATGACGCGACAGACCCCGACGCAAACCATTGTGTCTGCATTTAACTCACACAAACCTGACGCGACAACAAATCAAGTCGGGCTGTGTTGCACAGCGCTGTCTGAGTTTTCCTTTACATTACATTGCTTGATCCATTTACTACCAGCATCACAAATTAATTAGGTAGTTTAAAAATGATGTAACTGTAACTTCCTTAATAGGAACAAGAAGAAAAAGGGAGCAAAACAGCAGGAAAAGGATGGTGGAAAAGCCATTGCCGGGAAGAGGATCACTGATTCCAAGATGTTGACTACAGGGAGCGTTGTTGGTATGAAGGTGAAGAGCGATGGCAAGCATGACCCATCAATTACATCTTCAGACCATGCCATCAAGATGACACAATCTATCGCAATGGAAAGACCAGAGTCTCACGGTACCGCTGGCAGCGAGACGCAGGGTGAAGAGACTGGGAAGTGAGTGGAAAACATATTTTCATTATTTTTACCAATTCTGATCAAGTCTACACTTGTAGACTCTTTTTCCTAAGGTGTTTGATTGAACTCATGATGGTACTGCAAACCAAAATCTAACTTTTTACGTTGTTTAAAATTTAGAAAGAAGAGAAAAGACAAGCGCCCAATTTCAAATGAAATTGTTCCTGAACCAGAAGTGGAAAAAGATCCTGCGAAGGAAGCGGAGCTGCTGTTGGCCAATCGGTTCAAAGCATTTGAGCATAGCTTCAAGGATATAGATAAGCTGCTTGATAGATGGGACAGAACTATAGGTCAGTATTAACCTCTAGCCTGTATTCCACTTGCAAATCAAAAGCGTTGATTTGCGAGTCAAAAGCATTGGTTCATGCCCATGCATATTCACATTTCTAGGAAGTCCTGTTTTTAGCAACATTCAGAAGAACAAATAAAATAGATAATAATATAAACTTTTAGGAGAGCCACCGAGTGTCCACAACAGTTGGAGATAGGATCCGACTTGAATGTATTAGTTTTCAGTTTGAAGTTTTGATCTAGGACTCAAATAGAACTACATTGGCTTGCAGTGCATCGTCTGAAATTAGACTTTTTGCATATTTAACAAAAATAACTTTTTCCTTTATTGTTTTCTCTTATTAAATACAGAAATAAACTGTTCTTTTTATCATCATATCTTCAGGACAAATTTGCCTTGATCCCAATGCTGATGATGCAGATGCTGATGAAACTCCTGTGCACCCTCCCTCTGGAAGAAAGGGAAGAGGAAAAATTGACAAAGAAAAAGAAAAAGAACGCGAAAGAGAACGGTTAGAGAAAGAGCGTCTGGAGAAGGAAAAAGCAGAGAAGGAAAAGGTAAATATAATCTACTGTATTTACTAACTAATGGAATGTTTAATCAAAGAATTACCAAAAAGAATGAAAGAAAGAAATCTAACAAAAAACACAGAGAAATCAGAAACCTTCACTGTAGGAGCAGAGGGAAAGGAAGATTGGAGAAAAATCAAATATCTAGGAAGCATACTGGACACTAAAAATGACATAAAAAGACGAAAAGGACTAGCAATAACCACCTTTATAAAACATGAACACATCTTACATCATAGAAAAACATCTCTAAAAATAAGATAACAATGCGCAATACATTTGTATACCCACTCCTGCTCTACAACCGTCGACTCCAACAAAAAACTTAAAATAGCATAAACATATTCCAACGGAAACTACTAAGAAGAATACTAAACATCAAGCTAAAAGACAGAATAACAAATGAACACATATACATGAAGAGAATAAATTAAGCAAAACAATAAAAAGGAGGAGGCTCAACTGGCTGGGCCATCTACTCTGACTACCAGAAACTGTACCAGCAAAAATTGCACTAAATGAACACCTAAGAAAAGCAAAAGGAAACAAAGGTCGACCAAAACACACATGGCTGAAACAAATAAATACTGATCTGAATCCCATAGATAAAACTTTAAATACACTCACGCATAATGATTATAATAGGGCAAACTGGCGATGCATCGTTGTAAGGCTCATGTCTTGAATAAGCCGTATCGGCCCAGAGAGAGAGAGAGAATGTTTGTCTATTTACATATTTCTTAACCATGAATATTATGCTTAGTGTGATTAAAATATGATATGCTTTTTAGGCTGCTGAAGATGGGGATGAGGATGGTGAGGAGAACAACAAGGATGAGGTTGGAGTCTGTCACATCCTCATGGATGTCTCTGATGAAACTGACGATCAAATTGGTGACAGGATCTTACAGCAAAGCAAGTTGCCTGCAATGGCAGAGGTAGGGTTCTAAAAGAAGTTTCATTTCCATTGCCTCAGGATAATTTGACATTGTACTATAATTTGCTTTGTGAATATCACACTTTAATGAGCTAACATGTCATATTTCCTCTAATAAAACTTACCATGAGAATTAATGGAATTGTCCTTTTCAGCGCATTTTAAAAAAGATAATGCATTAGATAATTGTCTGCACTTTTTTTTAAGCTGTTTTCTGTGAAGTAATTTCTAGTTCTATTGAGTTACTCATCAATGCCTGCTCAGCAAAGACCACAGTGACAGGGGCTGTGTGATGGACCAGTACACCAGGGTAACCCCCTACTTGTCTCAAAGGATGTACTGGGTACTTTATAGTGCACATGAGCTAATTGTGTACCCTAGGCTTATGGGTGTATAGTTCTTATCCGAGAAGACTTGTTCCACCTCTAGAACCATAGACGAGTGTGCCGTTTGAACCAGCGTCGCTATTATGGCTCTAGGTTGCAGCGACCCTAACTTAATTGCCCTCTCATTTAACTCACCTCCTGTCTATTATATACACCATAGTGGGATAAATTATTCTAATAATATCCAATTAGAAACATGGCATATGTTGTTTCATTTCAAGTCGCACTCATAGACTACTGACAAATATATCTTTTTTTAAAGGTAGATATGGGTTTTCTCGTACTTTATTTTTAAAGAACCATATGCATCTAACACATTATTTTTTTTTTTTTAAAGGTGATGGATGGTCTGGGACTAGGACCTAATGGCCCACCTATCCCCCCATCTGCATCGTTCTCAGTGGTCCCCTATCCTGTCAAAAGAAGACCGCCTATGGGTGGAGATGCCAATGGTCACTATGTTTTTGTAGCTTCATCACCAGATGACCCGTGAGTTGATTGAGTTGTTTGAAAAATTAACATAATTGACATTCATACATTACATTGAAAAGATTAGTGTTCTTTGTTAATATCATTTCATCATCATCATTGTCAACATCATCAATTGTATTGTCATCATTATCATAATCAGGACATCATCGTCACATCATCACAAGAATCTCATCATTATGTTATCGTTAACCTCATTAGCATTAAATAATGCCATTTACATATTAACACTGTTGTATACTGATATGATTATCATTTTTATGGTTTTTACCATTCTTCTCATTGTTATGATCATTATCATCATCATTAACTTCATTAATGGCATTATTCATCATCATCATCATCAACTTCATAATCAAGACATCATTGTCACATCATCACTTAATAACCTCATCATCATATTATCAATACATCATTATCATTAAATAATGCCATTTGCATTATAACTGTTCTATACCAATATTATGATTATCATGTTTATGGATTTTATTATCACATTAAAACGAAAAAATATTAAATAACTTTTATAAATTATTATATGGTTTCAGTTTTCTAATTTTTGTTGTGGAATAATGAACAGAGAACTAAATAAAACACATTGTTTTTTAAACTAGGAATGTTTCTATTGAAGACAAACCAAAGGAACTTGAGCCAGATATCGAGCTTGGTACACCAGAACGGTCATTTAAAGATAGGGTAAACAATGCATTAATGATATTTAAATATTCATTACTTATTTCCATAAATTTTCATCTTCTATTTTCACACTGTTATGCGTACACTTTCTTACATAGGATGATCATACATCACTCGGCAAGACCAAGGGTAAAGACAAGGTGCGAGCAGGTGCCGAGAGCTCTAGCTCTAGGAGGCGCTCTGCCAAGAGCCGAAATCGCAAGGGATCATTGACAGTCACTTCCCCACCCCCAGGAAGCACAACCCCAGGGTCTGATGCAGATGGACAGAGTAGTACTGGTGATCTGTCTGCCATTCATGAACCAAAGTATCCTAGGTGAGTGTGCTACATTTTAATTATATGTTTCAATCCAACAGTTGCCTGGTAGCCACCCAAGTTTTCTACATTATAACTACAGCACTTTACCTAGAACCATGCTTAGAAGAAGATGTCGCAGTTTAGAATCAACTAAAATATGCTTAAAGACATGTACTTTTAGTTGTGGGAGACAAGTACCAGTAGACCCAATGAAAACTGAAAATATCTCAGTACATGGCTTATAACCTTTCAGCGGTATTGACTACAGTTTTCTGTGACCCATATTACAATCAGGCTGAACTGAACTACTGCCGCCTACCAGAGTATTTTGTTATACATTATTTGAGGGCACCTAAAATTGCTTTGGCCACCTGTTAAATATTTTGGTGCGATTACCTAACTAATTATCCAGAACTCTTCTGTTGTGCATACTTAAATGCATCCATCATGGGACTTGTTATAGCTCATGGAATCAGTCATACACAATCACATCATTTTTTTCTCCCTAAAGGTAATAAAGGTCTTTTAATATGCAGTGCCCTTGTAAGGCATAAGATTAAGGCATTCACTAGTAATTTACAACATCCTACTAGATATAAATTAATAACAAAAAAGATGCATATAAAGCAGTTGCATCAGACCACACAAGAGTTCGTGAAGAACTCAAATATTAAAAAAAAATCATTTGTTTGTTCTGCTATTAATTGGTATTTTATTTTTTTTAAAACATAGATATTATTGTTTTTAACCTGTTTTTTTTGTTTTTTGTTTTTTTTGTTTAAAGATTAAGTATTTTCCGGTGGATGATTCAACCAGGTGGTGAGGTTACGCTGCGACTGAGATTTCAATCAGAAGAGCTTGGTCAATTTGACCAGACGCTTAATTTTGAGATCACTGGCACTAGAAGACGCTATCAGCTTTTTAACAGAGGAATCTGTTCCTTTCCTAACATCAGCAGGGAGCCTAGGTAAGTCAACAGTCATAGTGCCCATTATTATTTCCATTTTTTTTTAGCTCTAATGAGGAGCTCTAGAAACACTCAGCTGATTGATTAATAGATTTTTAGCTCTACTGCCTCAATTATACTGCCCTCATAAGGCTAATTGATTAATAGTTGATTGATTAATAGATCTTTTTTTAGCTTTACTGCCTCTATTATACTGCCCTCTTTCTTTATTTAATTTCAATTTCAAGTGCCTTACATAAAATTGCAGTCACATAAAATATTTAAATATATTTAAGGCAGATGGGGAGCTAGCACAGACACGGAGTTCATCAACCGCTAGCCCTTTTGAGGCTGATTGATTAATAGTTGATTGATGAATATATCTTTTTTTAGGTCTACTGCCTCTATTATACTGCCCTCATGAATAGCTCTAGAAAAACTCAGCTCATTGATTAATAGCTAATAATATTTGGATTGTAAATATTTTCTGATTTTCCTTTGTCTTTCACTTTCCTTTTATAAGATATACTTTGCATTGATTTATTGTGCATATATATTTTTAATTTTATCACTGTGGATATAGTTTTGCCCCAGTAGTTAAGTAACATGTATCCAGTTAGTAAAGATTTGAATTTGTATTGTCACGGTTTCAGTTTATAATTAAACCTAATGTGATAATGACAATACAATTGATTTATTTTTTTTAAAACCATGTTTATCATGGTTGTGGCTGTAGAAAACTAAGGGGTGAGTGGTAGACAATTTGAGGGTGGTTGTGTGATAACAGTGGTGAGCTCTGAATAATGAGAGTGGGTTTTAAGCACGGGAAAAAGGGTTAATAAAGGTGGGTGGAGGGCCATGAAATTTGCTTGAAGACTGGGTAGAAAACTTCAAGGCTGGGTGGCCCTGCCCACAATCACTACATTTCAACCTTTCAGTTTATTCTAAAAGGTTTTCTGATATTCAGGTGCCCTCTTAATATGAGATACATGCTTTGTATTAAAACTACCACACATTACAAGGCTTAGGAGAGAAAAAAATGCATACTAGGTTCCTGAGATTTGAAGTCGAGCCTGTAAACCACCAAGCTATATTTCCACAAAACTAAAGTTTATCATCTTATCTTGTCATGTTTTATTTTATGAAATCTCTTATAATTCAAATAGAATTGTGTTTCCTAACCGTAAGAAGAGCAAACGAACTGATGAAATCGTCCACAAAAAGTACATTCTCAGTACGGAGACCCTGATGATGGGACCGCTGCTGGCTGGCAAGTCCAGGGACCGTTACAAAGAGGGCAAATATCCAGAGAACACAGAGAAACTGAAGATAAGCAACACGTCACCACTAGACGTGGAAGTCAGCTTCTGCTTCCAGTACGACAGCAACGCTACCACGTTCCTGCTGGACCCACCGAGCATGTCACTAAAACCAGGGGATGCACAGGAGCTGAGTATTTGGGTGTATCCGAAGAACCAGGGCTATTTTGAGGACTCTATAGTCTGTTGTATTAGAGAGAATCCAGAACCTGTAATGTTTAAAGTTGCATGTTATGGCGTGAGACCTGAACTGGAGCTGGATAAGAAGCAGCTCCACTTTGAACGAGTCTTGCTACACAGGTAATGTATAACCTCCTTAAGTATAAATGATTGTAAATTTATGATAAAAAAGTATTGTTGCCATAAGGCAGAGTCTATTTCATGAATACTTACTGTACCTGGATAACCGACTAATTGTCATTGTTCCCAAAACGGAACACCCCTTCGAAAACAAAATGGAACAGTCCGACTCAAGGCGCCACATACGAACTGTCTCCCTAACAAACGTCCTCATTCCTTTTTGACGTTGTTCGAAGTCGGATCATCTAGCAGGACTTTTCAAGCAATTCTGTTCTCCCTGGATTTATTTTTGCCTTGGATTTATTTTTGCCTTGGATTTATTTTCAACTAGTGGTTGACAAGATATCCTTTTTATTGTAGTCGGTTTCCATGTCCGCTCGCAAGTCTTTATGCTCGGCGTGTGGGGGCCCCAAACCGAGTGTTAAGCTCAACCTGCACTCAGAGTGCCCGTTGTGTCGCTCGTGCAGCAAGGCTGAGCCTTGCGAGATTTGTGCGCTCTGGCCCCCGACTAAGTTTGAATTTAAGTCTACGTAAGGCCTTCCATTTACGTTTCAGATAGGTTAAGCTGGTAGGTTAAGTTTGATCATGTCATTCATCGCTTGATACAATGCATTAGGTGCCACTTTTCTAAATTTTGTCTACTGGATGCTGAATATTGAATAATATTGTAGCTTTCAACTCTTTAAAATGGAAAAAAAATAAAAATAATATAAAAAAAGCAATTTTATTTTAGTTTATAATTTATTTAATTTCATCAAATTTGCTATTGTTAATGATTATTGTCAACGATATATATCTTGGTTGTTGATTACATATTTTCTAACTTAAATGATTGATATATTTTTCAGAAAAGACAACAAAACTATTTACCTGCGTAACAGTACATTGTTGCCGGTGTCATGGCGACTTAGCGGCCTTGAAAACCTGGGCGACGACTTCTCAGTCACCACTGATTCTGGCGTCATAGAACCCAAGTCTGAGTTTGCACTCAATGCTAATTTTAGGGCTATGAAACCAATTACCTTAAAGAAGACCATTAGACTGGAGGTATGTTGCTAAATGTGGCAAAGATAAGCCAAAACAGTCACTCGTCGCACACGTTGATTTTTAGTTATTAATCCAGTGTTGAACAGTGAAATGAGAACTATGAAATTGTAAAAGAATCATTAATAACCGACATTTTGTTATGAAGTTACATTAGTTTACACATACAGCTGTTTAAAGAACAATATTTGAGAAATCAGCCTTCAAAGTTCATGATTTCAGGCATTTCTCAGGCAGAAACCATCACCAAATTGATAAAAATTGTTGTTTTAACATTGAAAATGGAGAATAACAACATAGCATGATATATAGTTATATAAAGTTTAGTTTAATGCCATAAAACAGATTAAAAAAATTTTGACATTCCAGCATGTTTTGGCCATTATTTCTTGAAATAGGATTTGCGACGATTGGCTTGTCTTTGCCACAAATATTTGAATACATTTTTTTTATCTTTTAATTGCTGTGCCTCATATTGTTCTTATTTATTTCTTTATCTTTATTCATGCTTGACGCATTCCTCGGCTCTGATTTACCTAATAATGATAATAATGTTAGCTTATCAAAATCAAAACTACTACTGATATTTTCCAGGTCTCAGATGCCGAGAACATAATGGGCCTCCTACAGACAGAGAATATCCAAGTGCTGGCAGAGGCATATGATGTAGCCCTTGATATGAGCTTCCCCAAGGGTGCTGATGGGGGCCTAGACTTTGGTGTTATTAAAGTCTTGGATGAGACAAAACAAACATGTTCATTGAAAAACAAGGGAAGATATGACATTGCTTTCAAGTAAGTGATTTCAGTGCCTGGTTATTTTTTGAAAATAATCTAGAAAGTTCTAATAATAGATTACTTTAAAAATGGTGAAGTATCCCATATGATATTCGACATCCCAAAACAGTATCAGTGACAAAAAAAAAAAAAAAAAAAAGACTTTTTAATATATTCTTATTCTCCACATTATAAGCTTTAAAATGATGGGTCATTTACTGAATCGACATCTATTGCCAAAGTTATGAGTAAAAGTAGTGCAGCTTCTCTGTACTAAAGTATACAATATTGCCGCATTCTTACGCTAATTACTCATTTTAACATTTAGTGACAGTATGTTGGTCGTGGGATGGCAAGCCTCATTATTACAATCCTAAATTTACTGTGTCGAACCTTCACTGCTTACTGATAGGGATTATACTTGTTATTTGCTTAATAACAAATTAAATGTTTTTATATGCTACTTGTTTTGTTACTGTGTCATGTTTTATTAATTTTTTCCTTCATATTATTCTCTTTTTTGCAGTTTTGTTTTGGAGCCCACCAGTACATGTGGTCCCGAACAACTCAGTCTGTTTTCAGTGATTCCACAGAAAGGGGTGCTAATACCGAATGACCGGCCCACCAGTGTACAAGTTATCTTCAAATCACGTAAAGAAATCACAATTAAGGACCAGCAAATCTTAAAGTGCCATGTAAGAGAATTGTACAAAGTTGGCTAACATTGCTTGTATTATATTTTTTATTATCAATTCACTTTAATTTAATTTAATAATGTTATTGCTACTTGAGCCATCGAGGGCAATTATCTGCATACAATCACAAATTTACAATCACAAAATAAGAACTATAAAATAACAAAAAGATGGCAATCTTCTTAGTCAAGTACAATCAAGTAAACCTAAATATTAAGAGCTGCGCCTTAATGTCAGTAAGGGTGTTAGCGGGATCAAGGGCAAGAATGAAGCCGCAAGGTACGAGCAGGGAATGGAAAAAGGAAGATTGACGAGAATAGCGCAAAGAAGTAGTGCAGGAGCGATGTTGGGGGAGACAATTGTGTAATGGGTGACTGGGTTCTGGACAATTTTTGAAAGAAAATGAATGATGAAGAATTTCTGCCTAGATTTAAATGGAATTATATTGAATCTAGAGAGGGTAGCAGTGTAGTTATTGGAAGAAGCAGCAGCCTTGGTGCCAAGGATAAACCAAACAGAGAACTTACTTCTCTATGTGGTATACCCCTTCACAAGGCAAATATACTGTACACAAGATGCTTTATATAAACTAAGTCTCATTATGAGGCTTAGGTTGAGTAGAGTTGTTTTGGCTGTGGAAAAAAAATCCTGTTACCATCACAGAAATTAAACCCAGAACTCTGGGATTGGAAGGCAAGCATCTTTTACCACCCAGCTATTCAACACCACTCAAAGTTTATTCAAAATTTATATATTGTTTTAAAAATTTACAGTAACTTACATTAATTAGAGCAAGGACGGTAAATAAAATAATAAATGCCATACAATTATATACCATTAATTTATTTAAACATTTTTATCATTTGTAATCTTTAGAAATTAAAGAAAAAACAACAAAACTTTTTTTTTCTAGGTTATTGAACCATCAGTAACAGAGGGAGGTGAGACGATTGCCAGCATACCCGTCAAACTCAGCGTCCGCTCTATATTTAGTAAGTACAACATCTATCCGGTGAATGACATCAATTTCGGTGCTGTGTTGACCAACACTCGCAAACAACGTTCCTTTACCATCGAGAACAAAGGCGAGTTTGACTTCAAGTACTTCATCACCAAAATGCAGAAGAATGCATCTTCTCAACAACCAGTGATTAGAGGCAGGGTGTAAGTACATGAATATTCAAGTGTATTTCCTGAATACTTACCTGCATAAACTGACTAATTGCCATTGTTCCTTTAATAACATCCCTACAACAAAAATAGAACCGACCAATTGTCCCAGCATGTGACTGCACCCACGTCCAAGCGTTGTCCTCCTTCCTTTGTCGTCTATCAACCAGCAACGACCACATGTATTATGAGTTGCTATAAACAACTGATTCAAGTGACTGACAATGTTCACTTCATTGGGTCATGACATCATAAATTGATGACTTTGTGCGCCCTCTTTGTTCAAAATTGCCCTTGTTTTGTTTATATTACTTTTTAGTCTGCTTTTAATTGCTTTTATGATACCACTGATGTCATATATTTTGTTCTTGGCTTTATTTAATCTTGTATTGGTATTATGCAAACATTACAGGCCACCCGGTGGAAAACGAAGTAAGTCAAGAGACGATTCCAGCTCTGGTCGTTCGGTAATCAGGCCTAAACGTGCTGACTCAATGAGGTAAGAAAAAATAGAAATGATAGTGTTTGGTGGAAAACCCAGCACATATCAATAATAATGACAATTAACAAGTAATTATAAGTAATTTATAATTTTTAGTACTTTCAAAGTGCTTCACATTTACTGAATTTACCTAAATAATAATGGGATCATCCGCTAGTTTCTTCATCCCTATTTATTCTCCTAAGAGAAGACAATTTTATTTACAGTATTTTATTGTCCCACTCTGAACATTGAACTTTATTGGAAACACTTTTGTTTCAGTGGTACACACCATCTGTTGGTGCATCCAAATTACAACAAAACACTTCACAAAATAAAACCAAAAAATATACAAAAATTTTAATTGATTAAAAATTGAATGTTATGAGTGCAATGGAAGAATTTCCCATGGGCGAAAGATGGGCTGTCCAGCTTGGCAAGGGGTGCTCAGCCAAATAGAGCAGTCCAACCTTCAATGAATCGTCCAACCATTGTACAAACACTTAAGGCATTCGTTACTGTATAAGTCTTAAAATTGTAACACAAATTACTCCATGTCTGGTACTTATATGGGCATTTAATGCGCCTCTTCCTTAAGGTTATAAAGCGCAGTTCCTTTCCCTGGTCATTGGGTCCAGGTGCTTTAAGTGTTTTGCTGCTGGTAATCAGCGCAGTGGAAAGCAACCCCACCGTGAAGAATGACAACCATAACTCATAGAATACCAACATCAGTATTGGTTTGCAAATTTGTACATTAATTATTTCATTTGCATTTTATATTATGTCTGTTCTATCGTGTTTTCCATTCTCCTTGCTGTCATAGACTCTCAACCAGGTAATTTGATTGGTTCTTTTATTGAAGCCTAACAGTTTAGTGTGGGAACTAACCATTGGTTGTGCAGCCTTTTTTTTTTTTTAATCTGTCATTCATTAAATTAAAGTAAAAATGCTCAAGTGATGAAAACATTTTCATTTTATTTTTGGCTAAACAGTCTGACATGGATGCACGCATGAACTTTAATGAAAAAATATTTTATTTAAGCTATTTCTTAAGCCAGACACTCAGTGCCTTGTACGACGACCCCCAACTTCGCTATCTGTGTCCACATATCAAGCGCCCTCAGCATCTTATATTAGATGAATACGGCGTTATATAAAACTACATTGTTATTATTATTATTATTATTATAGATGTCGCGATGCTGTCTGCTGAATTTTGGTGGCAGTCTGAATGGATTGTCATTAAAAACGATCCGTTGCGCGCGTCGTTGCGTTGTGCGTCCTACATAGAATCGCATCGGCGGCTGACCGTCTGGTGCACTGTGTTTTCCATGCTTTCTATGGCAGTATCGTGCATGAATTTATGCAAGAATTTTGATGAATACATATTCCATTCAAAATTTTCATCATTTAAACTACTTGCTTATTGCTTATAAACAATTATTTTTACATGGATGTGTTGCTGGCAATTTAAAAAATTAATTTCATTCAAAATTTGTATTATATATATTTTATTTATACTATTGCTTTTAGGGAAGAACCTTACATGTATGTATACAAGAATATTTAATGGATACATTTCACTCAAAATCATATATTTATACTACTTGCTTATTGCTTAGAAAAAAAAGTATCTTACATGGATATATGCAAGAATTTTAATAAAAATTTCATTCGTTGCTCTAAAATGGACTGCCATCTTCCACACACCTAGACTTTAAAGTAACTAGTAGTAATAATGTTGTTTTTCAGACCACTAATAATATAACCGAAAACAAGAATATGGTTATCAATTATGTATGTGGGTCAATTATAGGAGAAAACAATTGATATAACCATGGAGGTATAAAATTTGTATACCTCCATGCTATAACAATTGGCTAAATGGACATGATAAAGAGATTTACAGCTTCAAAAAAAAATATAATAAATTAAGAATAAACATTGACAATTTCTGTATTGACAACAATGGAAAACAATAACAAATGTTTATAATGAGACTTACTATTTTAAAACAACATTGTTTAAATCAATTTCCCCTCCCAACTAGTTTGCACACAAATTTCATGTACTAGCTTTGCAGTGCAGAATGTCCTAAATATAGTGATTCTAACATTTCTAAATGTTTTGTCCTTGATTGCACCTGCCATTGTATACCTTCTGCAAAACATATATAATGCTGAGCTTGTACAAATCTTTAGGAATTATTAAAAATGTTTCTCAGAATTAGTGCATGGACCATTATTCAGAATAGTAAGGATGTCGCTCTTCGCAACCATTAAATATATTATTAATAAAAACACAAAAATGAAATATTTTATACTTGTAACTAATTTTATCCTAGTTTTCATTTCTGTCATTACACACTATATAAAATTTATTTTAATTTTTTTGTTATTTAAACAAAAGTTTCATATATTATATTATATAAAAAAATAATTTTTTATAAACTGCCTTAGAATTAATTTGACAGAATATGCAATAGTTAGTTTTGTTTGAAAAATGTTTAATGTCTGTTCCTTAATGTATGGTGATGCAAGCTTCCTTGATATGTGCACACAATAAATCCATAATAAATATTATTTTATAATGAGCCATTGCACTGTGTCACAACACTAATTGTGGGCTATCATTCTTTTATTATTTATCATTTTTATTATACGCTCTCCTTAGTAAGTGTAGGTGCACAGAATAATGAATTGTCGATCACTTTGATTTAATATATTTGAATAATTGATTGAATGATTGATTAATTGATTGATCAGTTTGATTTAATACTATATAAAATTTATTTTAATTTTTTTGTTATTTAAACAAAAGTTTCATATATTATATTATATAAAAAAATAATTTTTTATAAACTGCCTTAGAATAAATTTGACAGAATATTCAATAGTTAGTTTTGTTTGAAAAATGTTTACTGTCTGTTTCTTAATGTATGGTGATGCAAGCTTCCTTGATATGTGCACACAATAAATCCATAATAAATATTATTTTATAATGAGCCATTGCACTGTGTCACAACACTAATTGTGGGCTATCATTCTTTTATTATTTATCATTTTTATTATACGCTCTCCTTAGTAAGTGTAGGTGCACAGAATAATGAATTGTCGATCACTTTGATTTAATATATTTGAATAATTGATTGAATGATTGATTAATTGATTGATATGTTTGATTTAATATATTTGAATAATTGATTGAGTGAATGATGAAATAGTTGTTTTGTCACATGGTCGATTGATTGATTGATTAGTTATTTACTGGGGTGGACTGGGAATTGTGTAGTTACCAGTCTAGTAGCCTAACAAGGCAGCGCTGAAGGCCAGTTGAGTATGTATTAAGCCTATTTACCACTAGGCAAATTTATTTGTGCGTATCGAAAGTGTCGGTTCATACGCAGGCATGAACTGACAGAGTTTTTCGCTTCAGCGAAATCAGTAGTTCAAACTGTTTCTACTTTTTTTTTGTGAAGCGAAAAAAATGCGCGACCAATCAGAGCTCAGGGAGCGAACCTGCATTTTGGATTCACGCGAATGAAGTTGCCCAGTGGAAAATAGGCTTTACAGACCGCTCAATGTCATTACTGAGACTGAGTACTTCAGATGCATACACTTTCTTGTTATTTTTCTTTCAGTTTTCCTTACCTCAATTATTCATTTTTATATTTTAAATTCTACCAATGATTCTACCGATGAGGCGCATCGGTCTGTGTCCAATTGAAAGATGAATCAGTCCGCCATTGGTTGGTGGTGAAGTTCAAGTGAACTTAACATACATCTACCTTCAATTTACTGATTAATATCGTGGCATTATGCTCATAAATAATAATAATATGTTATTGTTAAACCTAACGCTTAATGCCTCTATGCACTTTACATTATTACCTCTGGTAATTGGATCAAGCACATATGAAACACATACTCAGCTCCCTGGGGAGAATTCCATAATGTTGCAGCTGTAAACAGTGCATAAATAAATGATGACTTACACAGTATAAAAATTGTACAACATTAAATGACTGATTGATAGCTAATACATAGTATCAAAATCATATTACAAAAATGGTTATTTAATTTCAGACAAGACATGGGTGGAGGAAACCCATCCAGATTGCAGCTGGGGATGTTCACCGTCTACCCAGCTTATGGTATGGTGGCTCCAGGTAATCAAGTAGTCATTCAGGTGGACTGTCTGGCTGAATCTGAAGGCAAAGGTGACGAGGTAAGACAAAGTTCTAGCCCACCAATGTCCTAATTCTGGATAGATGGTGACCCATAAATTTTCAAAGCAGGGGTTCCAAGATGAAACTACTTCCTAGGTATCTGGTTTAATAAGCTTTCTTAAGCTTTGTCTACACTATCAAATTTCATCTAAAGAAGCGTCGCATAAAATTTGATTGAACGTAGAGTTGAACACGTTCAACTTATTTTGATACAATTTGATGACATGTGGTATGACGTCATCGTACCCATATATGGGCACATCACATTTTTTTGTCACATTAAATATGATAGTGTTGACAAAGCTTTAACACATCCTGCTGTATTGTTCGCTGTGTATGATCAATCAATTAATCAATCAATGGATTTATAAGGTGCATAATACTACAAATGTCCAGCTCTCAGGAAGACAATTAAAAATACAGTAGTGAAGAAGATATTTGCTTTCTCACAGGAGTGCAGAAGATCGTTCTGATTTCCAGGAGATTTCCATGACTCACAGGAAACATTAGACCATTGCCTATTTTTTTAGCGAGGTCTTTCTGGTGGTGATATGGGCAGTAAACATAATTAGCGTAGACAGATTCAAGGGACGGGGTTGGAGACCTTAGCCAGCCTGGCCTTTTTTTTCAAAATTTAAAAAAACAATGGGGAAAAAATTTATAAATATAAATATTTTCAAGTGTAAGTCTTGAAAGTGCTATTTCCAGCCATCTTGAGGTGACATATACATACAATTTTGGGCCTAAGCCCCAACTGTGGTGAGACTGATGTTGTTTAGACCTTCCATTTATAAACTCTCTTCCCTGGTCTCCACTCTTTTAAATTCCTCTATCCGTCACTGATTAGTCGTGCTTATTTTTGCTTCAGCACAAAATCAAATTGTTACTGTAAAGTTCACTTCCTCTGCAGGATATAGCCATTGATATACATGATCGGGACCCAGCGCAGAGCCCTCAGGGTATACCCTACAAGCTGCTCGCTGAGGCATGCAGTCCAGGCATCAATGTGGTTGACATCACATCAGTCTTCGAGGAGCATCGCATCTGCAAAAATCTCAGCGTGTTCCTCAACAATCATCAGTTGGACATGGAGAGTGGCGGCGTGTATGGAGAAGATGAGAACAGATTCCTCTTTGGTAACGTCCTCGTTGGAAGGAGGTCAAAAGCACGTTTCAAGATAATGAATCGAAACAAGGTAACCATTCAAATGTTTTTTTTATTCCGTGTGCTGTTATTTGTGTTTTGTATGGAAATATAACAACAAAAATGATTTGGTTGACTCCTGGCTGATCAAAGAATCACCTCTTCAAAATATCATCTGAATACACAAGAAGAGAAATTTGTAAAAAAAAAAATAAGTAAAAAGCACTCTTGTCAATTAAAAAAAATTAACCTAGTATATACATATATATTTTCTTTGACAGATTTCTTGCGATGTTGTTTTCACCTGTAAGCTAAATTCATCCAAGGTGTCGTCTAAACTACAAGATATATTTGAAGTCGAGCCGAATAGAGCATGTATTCCAGCACACAGTCATGTGTACGCTGAAGTTACATTCTCGCCCCCATCCATGCAGGTAATATGCAATTTTGATGTGCATAATTAGAACACTCTCTTTCTCAACACCACAGTTGGGGCCGAGGTGAAAATTATGTAATAATGCGAAATTAGCGTAAACCAGATTGTGTTTAATAGCATTAAGTTATCAATATGACCAAAACAAACATGGCTGATTGGTCAGTTTAGCAACCACATTTGCATTAATATTTTCAGATTAAATTAAAGAAAATAAAAATTATAATATTTACCCACATGAGAATTGTTTTCACAAAATTGACTGATATATGAATCAGTAATTTTTTTTTCTCAATAGACCTACACAGGCAGCTTTGAAGTTGTGGTCGATGGCTTGTCAGGATCCCAGGCCAAGCAGAAGAACCTAGGCTTTGAAGTACAAGGGGAGGGCAACCTGCCTAGAATTACTGTCTCCAAGCCTAGCATTCGTAACAAGAAGGGCAGTCCTGTGTTACTCTTCTCACAAATCCTCATCAATAGAACTCAGTCATTGCCATTTTCATTGAAGAATGAGGGAACTCTTCCTAGTAAGGTAAGTTCAGGAATAAAAAAATATGGTGTTAATGTTCTTCAAATCTTGTATTATTACTTTATCTCATTTAACATAACTTTTTTTGGTTACTGTACATGAACTTTGTCTTGTCGTTGAAGCCTTTTGTGCTGATTTTACTTATACAGTATTTCTAATAAGGATCCTGTACATTGGCTTACCCTCTGGGGTTGTTGGAAATTTATCTATTTCAAACATAGTTTAAATAAAAATATTAGTCTATTTCGTGAATACTTACCTGGATAACCGACTAATTGCCATTGTTCCCAAAATGGAACACCCCTTCGAAAAAATGGAACAGTCCGACCCAAGGCGCCACGTGCGGACATGCCGATCGAGACTACAATAAAAAAAGGATATCTTGTCAAGTTGAAAATAAATCCAAGGCAAAATAAGAACAGAATTGCTTGAAAAGACTGCTAGTAATTTCAAAGGCTAGAGTGTATCCAACTTCGAACAACGTCGAAAAGGGAATGAGGACGTTTGTTAGGGAGACGGTTCGCACGTGGCGCCTTGGGTCGGACTGTTCCATTTTTTTTTGAAGGGGTGTTCCGTTTTGGGAACAATGGCAATTAGTCGGTTATCCAGGTAAGTATCTCACTCATAGACTACCAACATCACGATTGATATGTGTAATTTTTATGTAAGTATCATAATAGATTGTTAAGCTTAAACATGTTCTAATAATCTTGTAGAAGAATTAATAATGATGATATTGAAATGTAAATAATATCGATGATAATGATGATAAATGAATGATGAAAATAATAATAATAGTAAGACTTGCATAATGGGAATCATGATAATTTTAATAATAATATGGTATTTTTTAATGAAATTTTGTTTGTATTAGATGATGATTATTATCCAAATTTATAACGTTATTTGTTTTCTTATGAAGGTGGATATAGACTTGAATAGCTCAGATGGTGGATTCATACTCAAAGCACACAGTGATACAAAGCTTATCCATCCAATGGCATCTGATTACAACCCAGAGTTTGACGGTGTGTATTTTTTTTAATAGTTCCCCAACCTTCCCCTTCACCAAAAAAAAAGCTAAATTTTATATTAAAGCATTAAAAAGTAAGAAACATGTTTTAAGTACGCATTTCAATGTGTCATTTATGCTGGTTTTTGATGTTTTTTTTGGGTGGGGTGTGGTAGGTATTTTGGTTTTACATTTTTTATGTGGCAGTGTATTATACTATTACAGAAAGTGAGATAGATCTAAAAGTATCTGTTTATATCATACAGAAGAAGTTCCAGTAAAGCGCCCTCATACAGCCTCGGTGATCATCGGCGTAGATGAGTGTGCCAACTTCGATGTAGTCTTCAAGCCATCTGAACCGACTCGATGTACTGGTACCATCAGGGTGTCGGTAATGGACAACCAATATGAGGACACCATTGTCCAACTTGTTGGGGAAGGGTACCAGGATGAGATTACACTGGACAATATACACAGCTTCATTGACGACAGCGATATTGAGAACCTTGTGGGTGCCGAGGAAGTGATGGGTGAGTATAAATTGATCTTGGTTCATAGGAAAGTGACGATGATGATGAAGCTGGTTATGGGTGTGATGATAAAAATAAACAATAAGTGAGCACCTGTATCCATCTTACAACGCTCATGGCACTTCAAATCCACCTACTAAACATTTTCCATATGGAATGCATTATGGGAGGGATGTGATTTTAAGTTCCTTTTGGAAGTATCTCGAGTGGTGAAGATAACAGTATGTCTTTGTAAATGTATATACTGATGAAATGATATATGCCAGTTTCCATTTTAGGAAGTTACCTTAAAAATAATGGAATAGTCTGACTCAGTTGTATACAATACAACTATGTAATGTAACAAACAGGTCTCAATTTGTTTTACTGTCTGTGTTTATATAGCTATAATGCTTGTCACGACATGACTGCAAATGAGACACAGAACAAATATATAATGTATAAAATGGTTTTAATAAAAGAAAAGTTTATCGATCAAATAATTAACTGTTGCATTACTTTTACCACTATAACAATGCAGTTGCAGTACAATTCTTGTACCAAGTATTTCAAACTGCTAGGGCTTTTTCCCTCGGTCTGCAGTATCACTTTAGTATATTTGACTCTATATCCTCTAGATCATGGTGGTCCTTTCTCTACTTTATTTCTTGATTCCAAAAATACTGTGATGCTCTCTTAATTCGGCTGTCACTCACATATAATTACTTCAAGCTTGAACTTACAGTACAAGCCTTGCACTTTAATCTTAACATGTGCCTTGACTGATATGTCCTTTAACTGACACGCCTCAATCCACATCTTTCCTTTAGGTTCAACTTCAGGCTAGATACCTCTTAGCTAACCCTTTTGATAACATATTTGCATACTTTTACACTTCACTTAAGCGCATAAATCACATACTGACACTTTGCCTTAACGTCATTAATATTCATCTTATAATCATTCACAGACCGTTTACCATGAGTCATACAACTATGCATATTCATTAGTTTACGATTTAGTTAACAGTACTGTAAAGTAGAATGAAATCAGCTAATACTGTTACAGTGCTATACATGGCATGTCCCAGAGTGCATCACATTTTTACCCCAGTCATTGGGACGGTACCTGTGGAACACATACTCCGCATCCTGGGGGAGTATTCCATGAGTAGCATGGCATAAATCAGTGCATTTGGAATTCAAACCTTCTTGTTACCCACTTATACTCTTGTGTGGAGAAATACAACAATAATAAAGTGACACAAGGATCTTTTACAATGAGGGTTTCAAACCCCCGACCTCAATGGTGATGTATGATAGTAGTTGTGATGGTGATGATTATATTTTGATAACGGTGATGATGAAGATGATGTTTATGAAGATGATGATGAAGGTGTTAATGACAATGATAAATAAACAAATAATATATTCAACTTTCCAGCTGCTCCGTCTAACCTTATTCACTTCCGAGACTGCCACATCGGAGAGCCACGTCAGCTGACCTTTACTATGACCAATCACAGCGAGGCAGACACTGTTCGTTTCCAGTGGCCAGATCATCCACAACTGAAATTCCTACCCACGGTCGGACACCTTCATGCAGGGTGTGCGAAGGACATATCAATCACCTTCAAAACAGATGAACCAGTTACCTTGCAGAATGAAGCAATCAATGCCAAAATCTCAAAGATTACATTTGATAAGCCTATTGATCAGGTAGAGCATGTTTAGAATCATATCTATCTGTTTACCTTGTATCAGTTTGGCACTATTCAGTTCATCCAGAGACTACCTACATCACTCCAGATTTATGCAATTTAGTAAGGCAGCATGTGATATTATACTACCTAAAATTAGGTGCTAACTTCACAATATTTTGAGCTGTGGGTTTATTAATTAATTAACAATCCTACTTCACATCTAGGTTGCCGACTGGGATGATCGTCTGAGAACTGTCAAGTGGGTGGACATCACTATGGCGTCCACCAGACCAAGCACAAATGATGCGACCAACAGGCCAAAGTCAACGCAAGACATCAAGAAAGAGGAGAAGGAAAAGGAAGGGAAGCACAAAAGAGGTGCGGCAGCAGCTGCGGCGGCGGCAGCAGCAGCACAAGAACAGATGGAGAAAGAAAGATGCGAAGAAGAGATGATGAAGAAAACAAAAGAGATGATGGAAACACCAAGACCTTCAAAGAAAAAGGTTTAAAAAAATCACTAAAACTTTTTATTGATTTAAATATGTTGGCCTGAATAACATAAAAGTATTAATTTGAGTGGATTTTGATAGACAATAAAATTACATGTATTAAAATATTAGATGCATACTGGTATCATAACAACTTGAATATTACTCACTATAATTTCCATTTATATATTATGTTGCATAGAAAACATATAAATAATAACTACAATGCAGACTCTGATAATACCAATTACTTTCCTCAGGTGATAGAGACTGAGCCTGAACCTACCCATGTAATAATGGATGATTCCAATCGTGATATAGAACTACGGGTCAGCGTTAATGCTGATTTTGCCAAGTTCAAATGCAAGCCAGATGTGATCAACTTTAAGGACACATTGATGTTCCAAACTAGAGTGTACACGTAAGTTGCTGCTAATATTCCACTACTAGGAGCATAGGGTCATGTAACATCATTTAGGCCTTATTCTGTCCTTCAGAGAGTAAATGATGGTCTCATTCATTTGTGTATGTGGAAAAGAAAAAGAATTTTAGAAAATATTGTGTGTGAACTATTTTAAAAATACTAGATGGTAAAGCAAAACTTTTTTTATAACTTGTTTAGCAAACCCACCGCCCACCAATAATGATGATTTCGAATAAATACATAATTTCATTTATGGCCAATTAGCGCACCCACCACCACGGAAAAATGGAAATTTCAGAAAAAACAAAAGTTTATTTTTATTACGCAAGCTGCTGCTTTGAAATATTCAAAAACAAGATATGTATATTTCTTCCAAATTTTATAAATTTAAAGCATTTAACCACACTATGACTACACATTTTACATTCAGCAATAACATTTAATTTTTATTTTCTCCTCTGGATTTTTTTTTGCAAAACTGTTAGCTAAATAAAGAACCAAAATTATTTTATTATTTTTTTTCCCACCCTCCTCCTCTGATAATCTTTAAAAAACAATTTACAAAGTCTATTTCGTGAATACTTACCTGGATAACCGACTAATTGCCATTGTTCCCAAAACGGAACACCCCTTTGAAAAAAAATGGAAGAGTCCGACCCAAGGCGCCACGTGCGAACCGTCTCCTTAACAAACGTCCTCATTCCCTTTTCGACGTTCGAACAATTTACAAAAAATGTCTTGCCTCTTAGCTTCAGTGCTACAAGCTCTAGAACATATTGCAAAAATGGCTGCTCCAATCACACGAGTTCTAGAAACATTAAGGTGTGCAATTAAATGTTGACTTCTTTTGGTTTTTCTAAAAAAAAAAAAAAAATGTGCAGTGACATTTTTGAAATATGCACAGTACAGCTGTAAAGTGAAATAACTCTAGCCAACTCTTGTATGAGATATATTGATTGTCTGCACAAAAAAATACTTTTCATTCGGTAGCGTACTCATACCTTAATTTTTGTGGTATTCTCATAATAACTCTGTGATGTCATTTTTTTTTTAAGTTCTTGGGCTCATAATTCTCATGGTTTTTCTTGCAATAATAAGATGCAAGGTGTTTCTAATAGTAACCAATAAATGGCTCATATCGTTTGTCTATTTAAAGCAATTATCTTATCGGTGTGTTTCATTTTTGTACTAGTTTTTTCATCGCAAACAAAGGCTCCATTCAGCTTGATTACAGTTGGCAAGTAGTGATGGAAGAACTGGCCCAGCGGAAGTCTGTCAGCTTTGCAGATGAAGAACAGTTGCGACTACCCTCTCGCTGTAGCACCAGCATCATGTCGGATGTTCCTGACATCTTTCCATTCACAATTATGCCCGACGTCGGGACAATTCCGGCTGGCAAGAAACAGAATTTTAACATCATGTTCTCTCCGTTGGATGTGCAGGAGCATGAGGGCAGGCTAATCTGCCGGTAAGTTCACCAGACACTATTTAGGGTTCCTCTTTGTCCATATTTTGAGGGCTGAGGTATACAACAGAACTATTTAGTGCTTTCATGAAGTAATTCTTTTCAATATGTTTTTCATTCAGCATTCCAAATTTGGAACCAGGTAAACAGGGACCAGTGATTGCCGTCCATGGAAAGAGTGTAATGCCATACTGTCACTTTGAACTGGAGGACTCCGACTACATCACCAGTGCCCGGCGTAATCCAGAGCTGCGTGGTCCTGGAGGTGCGCCGCCTGGAGCCACTCTTGATCCAAACACCAGAGTGATTGAGTTCAACTCAACTGGAGTGAATGTAAAGAACCCACGTAACTTTTACATTGTGAATCCAACGAGTCAAGGTTACAGTTTCTTGTGGACTTGTGAGGATGAGCCGGACCCGAAGGAACCAGATGTATTCCATTGTTTGATTCCTAATGGATATATTAATCCAGGAAAGAAGTTTGAGGTTTGTTTGCTGTCACACTGTTTTGTAATTCATTTTTTAAATTGAGCTTTCCAAGCTTTAGTGTATTATTGCATTTTATGAATTTTATATAATCATAAATCAAGTACATAAGCAGTCTCTCCATAGAATGCATATAACTCTGTTCTCTGCATGAATACCGACCAATATGCAGACTGTATGGCAATTCCATTATTTTTTTTTTTTTTTTATGCTTGAGGGTAAAAATTGAACTTCTTTGCAATTCCATTATTTTTTTTTTTTTTTTTATTCTTGAGGGTAAAAGTTGAACTTCTTTGACCATGTCCTTTTATCTCTTTCTTAGACTATTATATACTATTCCACTAAATTTTATGATTATCCTTTCATTAGTTATTGTGTAATCTGATCAGACAGACAGCGGTAGATATATTACCTGCTTGGCAGTAATAACATGTATCATTTCTTTCTTTAGATTCTCTTTGACTTCATTCCTAACAAGCTGGATATTGTGGAGTCCTTCTGGAGATTCACCATTCCAGAGCAGAACATTTCTGTGCCATTTCTGTTGGTTGGCAATGCAAGAGAGCCTGCCATCTCCATGGATAGATCTCACATCAACTTTAGATCTATACTGCTTGGTAAAGAAGTTTTCTTGGATTGATGACAACCCAATGGGCATCTTCACCCTCTCTCCATTACAATGCTTTAAATTAATCTTTCCCCTCTACACATCAGTTGAACCATTGTTCAATGAATATTTGCTCTCTAGATATATCTTCACTAAACATTAACACAAATCCTGTTAAAAAATACATAAATCTTAGTGAAAATTAATGAAGATGATGATAATATTAGTAATTTAACAAGCAATGAACCACTTTAAAACTTTTGTGAAAAATTGAGACTTCAGTTATCCATGCACTTTTGAATGAAAGATGACCCTAAATCGTAACAATGGATTTAAGGAATTCTGAATATCTTAAGTTCTTGATTGGCATACCTGTAGTTTCATATAAGCCTATCTTAAAGTGGGCTTTGAACTATTTTTTATTTAAACAGCGCATGTTTTTTCTTGACAGGAAATGCTGCTGAAGAAACAGTATATCTTGCAAATAACGAGGACAAGCCATTCCAGTTCTCCATCGATGAGACATCATGCCATTCCGAGGGATTTTCCTCTTTTGTCACTGTCACACCCATGGATGGAATTATTCCTCCTCACAGAAAGTAAGTCTGACTACATTAACAAATAGTTCAATGATATTCAATAAACCAATATATGCCAGTTTCTATTTAGGAGCTTACCTCGAAAATAATGGAATCGTCCAACCCAGACTTCTGATTTGCATGATTTTTTACTTCTATTTTATGTTTTTAAATAGCCATCACGTTTTAAAGCATTTTGCTTACAAGTTGTATTATGCTAGAAGAGCAGTTTCCTTGTGGACAATCAATGCACTCTTTGAGTAATATCATTGTCACAGTGCCACTGAACATTGCATTATGCCATGTATATTGGCACTATACAAATCCATGTTGATTGAGATAATCAATTAAATATTAATTTATATATTTAATTAATTCTATTAATAGGTTACCAATAAATGTGCACTTTGTGCCAAGGGAGCAAAAAGAAGTAAACTTCAACCTTAAAGTGAGCATACGTAAGAAGACTCTGCCAATCCAGTTGAACGTCAAAGCCGAGGGATACTCGATGTGTGCGACATTATTGTGTGAAGATTCCCAAGGGACAAAAGTGGAACTCACTTCCAAGGGCCTCAATGAGATTAATTTCGGAGAGGTAAGATGTCTGTTTCTTTATTGAGCTATTAAGTTCTATTTTCGTGAATACTTACCTTGATAAACCGACTAACTGACCAGTTGTTCCAGTTTTGTCCTCATTTCTTTGTCATTTTATCTCATAGACTACCAACATCACTTTTGATTTTTGTAAGGTAGAAGTAGGAAAGTTATGAGAATAATGCTAACTTGCAGCGCCATTGTGTTGAATTGCGTATGGGCGTGGTCCATGACGCTGTAGCAGTCGTAGAGAGGCGCTTAGTAGTTGTTGGTCATCAACCGTTATCACCATGGAGTTGAATAGCTTGTTGGTAAAAGTGCTTGCCATCCAATCCCAAGGTCCTGAGTTCAATTACTGTGAGGGCTCAATTTGTTTACTCCACTGCTTATCCATCATTACAAGAGCATACTTTGGCCCTCAGTGAGAAAAGTAGATTACCCTGTATAAAAGGAAGATAAATTAAATATTAAATTTTATATCTGAAATCACAATATTTTATTAGTGTTTCTTTTATTTTTTATTAAAGATTGAGGTCAATGAAAAGGCGGTGCGCTCTTTGTTTATCATCAACACCGGTAAATTCAACTTTGATTTTGAATGGATATTAACGTCACGCAAGAAATCTGCACGCTATCTATTGATCAACCCGGAGAATGGAAGTGTGGTTTGCAATGACCGCAAAAGATGCGTCCTGGCATTTAAACCAACGTCTACTATGGTTCTTAGTGGGATTGAACTTCTCCTTAAGGTATATTATATATTTAGAATTTCTATGTAGTCTATGGTATAACAATTATTGCAACCATTGTGGGGCAGAAATGGTCTGAGCCCTCCATCTTTAAAATTGTCTTCCTGGGCTCCCATACAGTATTTCAAAATCCTGGATCGTCATAAATTTACTGGTTTACTATAGTCTGTTTTAAAGGATGAATAAATGTTCATTTTGATTGTAGGTGGCTAATGGACCGACCTTCCCCATCAACGTCGTTGGCAGTGGTGTGGCGCCAAGCCTGCACTTTTCCTTCATCAGGCACGACTTTGGACCTTGTTTCATCCATCGGGCTGGTATGCCAACCCACACAGCACTTTTGACAATAACTAACAAGGACAACAAAGATATCAGGTAACATAATTTTTTAAAAATTACAATTTGATAATCATGATAATAATTATTATTTAATAGAATTTATATAGGGTATATATTAAAAAAGGCTCCTCAAAATACTTCTCTCCCTGTCTATTGGATATGGAATCAACCATACATAACATATAAACTTCCTATATTATTGTATTTGTGTGGTTTTTTTTCTCTGAATTATTTTATCAATTAGTATAGAAATTAAAAGTAGCACACATCCCGTAAATAAATACGTCACTCTCCTAGTAATGATTGAAGTCGTCATAAAGTGCGCCTCTTCGTTCGGTTGACTCATGGAAGTGCACCCAACGCAAGATATTATGATGAATTCGTTTCTAAAAATAGTAACATTAATTTTACCGTTGCCCTCAATCAAGGACTTGTATCTTGCTAGGCACTACTGAGTAACTAAACATAACCAAATGCAGCCGGCAACTTCTCATAGCGTAAAAGGGCAATTTTTTTTTGCTCACAAGCGTACTGTGCTCTCCTGTTTCTATACTTCTTGATTTTATTTGTTCTCTTCCTACAGTCTTGACTGTCACTATGCTAGCACCTCATTCCTTGAGGTACACTTCAGTGCCCAGGTCCTGCAACCAAACCAATGCTGTGACGTACATCTTACGTTTTACCCAAGAGAGGCAACCAAATACCATGAGACGATCGCTTTTGAGGTCAATGGACTGTCGCGTCAGAACGTAGAGATACTGGGCCAAGGCACTGAGATGAGAGTGGAAGTCGCAAACCCTAAGGATAAGAATTTGAACCTTGGAGCCTTGCGTATTGGGCAGACAGTGAAGAAAACAATACCGATAATTAACAAAAGCCCGGCACCAATCACATTCAACGTGGTCATCACGCCATTTAGTCAGGTCCTACAGCAGCTGCCATATGTGCTGAATCTATCACCAAGTCACTCTATCACGTTGAAACCGAAAGGAGGGACCTACAACCTGGATATGTTATTCACGCCAAAGTGTCGTATTCCACAGTTTACTGAAGAGGTAATATATTTTATCTCTGAGATGTGAGCTCTACTACATTTATTTACCCCACATAGAAAATATAACCCTACATCCCTCCCATGGCACCACATGACTATTCCAATGCCCATATGCTTTCATCATTCCTTTCAGACCAAATATAATCAGTTTATTGCTCTGTATAGATTATGACCAAATAATGATTTATTTATTTCAGGTGATGCTAGAATGTGAAGGTTTATCACAACCATTATTTGTTGTAAATGGTTCGTGCCAAGGTATAGAGATCACCCTAGACCGGGATTCCATTCCGTTTGGTGCAGTTTCTCTCAGGAGTAGCACCAAAAGGAAGTTACTGATGTACAACACAGGAGACATAGGAGCAGCGTAAGTCACACTACTTCTTGACTTCATCTGTACCTTATTGACTCTCCCAAAATTTTTATGAATTCTCTCTGTAATTTCTGGAAAATCTAATTAACATGTTTACTGTCAAGACTTTTTTTAACCCAGTTGCAGGCCATACGCAAATGCATGAAGGGCTCCGCAGTAAAATTATTCATTCCCAAGAACAAATGAACAGTATACATTTAATGCAATAGTGGTATGTTTTGACAGGTGTGGATGTGAACTCGCATCCTTGGCATTCTGGGTGAATCTTGTCAGCACGTGAAATGGCAGCAAACGTGTTAACTTATTACAATACTTGGGTTTGACAAATCAATTGTGAATGTCCACTAATAGTAAAAATATATTAATTTTCTATCATTAGATTTAAATGGAATCTTGAGCATTTTGCGCCAGACTTCAACATCAGTCCGGTGGCTGGTTACATCTCACCAGGCATGACGGTCTCATTTGAGATAACATTCCAACCTCAAGAACTCTGCCAGGATGTCAGATATGATGTAAGTACAATCTCTTTGACTTTTGTCTTCTAATCTTACACTATGTATTTAAGCTGGGCATTCACTGCACTCGGCAGTCGTCGGCCGACGCGATTCTGTCCACAATGCAACGCCACAATGCGCGTGCAACGGACCGTTTTTAATGATTCACTCAGACTGCCACCGACAATCAGCAGTCGGCATTGCATCGTCTGATGTTCACGGGGAGCGGAGTTGGATTCTGTGCTCAGCTTAACTCTGTGGATTTTTTCTCTAATTTTATGCTTCTGTGTATAGTATGTGAGGTGCCTGCAGGTAAGCAGACAAACTCCTGTCTGTTATACTTACAGGTGTATATGTATTTTTGTCTCTCTATGTCATACGTATTATCATTGCATAACTAACATTTTATATTTTTTCATATTATATAGAAACTACGTTGCACCATAGAGGGTAGTAAACCATTGAAGCTGGTTCTGACAGGAATGTGCGTAGGGTGTGTGCCAATGAAAGAGACACTCCACTTTAACACACACGTACGTGTAAAAGAAACTCGGTCTGTTAACTTGCACAACCGCTCAAACCTTCGCTGGAATCTGAAGCCGGTAATCGAGGGAGAGCACTGGTCTGGCGCAGAGAGTATAATAGTTGACCCACAGTCCAGCAAGCCATATGAGGTCACATACCGACCTCTAATTATGACGCATGAAGGGAAGAAGCATACCGTAAGTGAATTCACATCTTTTTTGTTGTTTTTTTTTTTAATGCGGTAAAATATCACACTTGAACATACAAGAACATAATTTGTGTAGTTGATAATACTAATATTTATTTTCATACAAGATTGTTCACTTTTCTCTTGCAGGGTGCTGTTTTCTTCGCACTGCCAGATGGCAATGGTCTGTTGTATAATTTAACTGGTGTGTCAGAGCCACCTAAAGCTGCAGGCAACATACAGCGAGAAGTTCCAAGCAAGACACACTATACAGAACTTCTGTCAGTGTCCAACTGGCTCAAACGACCTCAGCGGTAAGCAAACTGATTCATCGTATTCATTATTTCACAGGGGAAGCAACTCCCAGGAGATATGTGTAAATGAGCTTTCTTAACACATCTAAATACATTCTGCTGTGGATGGTAATACCCATTGACACAGACATCCGGGAGACAATTGATAATACAGTAGTAAAAACAGGCAAATATTGTGAATTTGAGGGAGAAGGGTTATTTTCCGGGAGGTTGTTTCTTACGGGAGTGCAGCCATGACCGACTGAATCTATATTTTTCAAGGTCTGGCTATCATCACTCATAGATTGCCAACTTCACAATTGATTTTATTTTACCATTGAATTTGCAGATTTAAAGTTTATATTGAGATGATAAAGCCAGATAAACTTGACCCAGCCACAACCCTCAAGGGTCTGGACTACATTGATGTACCTGGTCTGGCTAAGAGAGACTACAAACTTAACTTCTACTGCCATAAGGAATCTTCTTATGCAGCAAAGGTATTTTCGACCATTGATTTATTTTGTGAAATACCTCATTTAGCTCAGATTATTGTCTTTTAATATTACAAATTATGGTCCTAGAACCCCCTACTCCTCAAGAATGATGTACTGGTGCACACAAGCCATTGTATACACTGGGTCTACAGTTTATATTCCTTATCCGAGAAGACTTGTTCCACCACCAGAACCATAGACGAGCGTGCCGTTCGAACCAGCGCCGATATTATGGCTGTAGGTTGCGACGGCCCTGCCTTAACTGCTCGGCCATCCAACTTGCCTAGTGTCTGACGCGATGCTGCTGGAGCTATGATTATATAGAACTTGTAATTATTTTATTCCTCATATAGCATCATCTTCTTTCCACATTAGGTTGTTTTTAAGAATGATCAAACACACGAGTTCCAGTTTTATTACATCACGTTAAAGAGCCTTGCACCAGACATCATCAGCACCATTGAGATGATCACACCAGTGCGACTGACAACCTCCAAGACCATAGTGATGGTGAACCCACTGGCAGTTTCTGTCACGTTCCAGACCAACTGCCAAGCCTCCGATATTATGCTGCCAACACAGCTGGTTATTCCACCACAGTCTGAGGTATGAAGCTTATAATAATAACCCATTATTAAATTGCTATTAACATACTGATTTGAGTATGCAATACGAGTATACAGTATATGCCACTTGCCTATTTGCTTGAATACCTGGATGAACTAATATTAATCCCAAGTTTGGAATAGAATCATGTGCCAGTAGCCCATATATATCCTGGTTGGGGAAACTTTTTTCTCACACTTGCAGATTCCTCTTTAACGTTTTAAATTTATATATAATTATAGCATTACTGCGAAACGGTTAACAGTAGAGCTTATCTCTAGTATTATTGTCCAGATTTATTTGAAAGCATCTCTCCGAAGATCCTGCTTTGTTGTCAAATGCTTATAGGGCGTATCATATTAATATTATGTTTTACAATGCTTCAAGGACTGGTGCTGTCCAATTGCTCATGTGCAAGAGTGTGAAGAATTAATTTCTTTAATTGAATTTGAATTTCCAACAAAGCCTCAATGGCCCTGTTGGTTAACATTACAAAGGTCTCCCTCCAATTAATGACCACTTTTGGGACCAGTGTTTCCATGGTCTTTTAGCAGCTTTGGTCTGTAATTAGAATAAGAAAGATAAAAGAAATTTGTTAATTCGGGACCACCGAAAAGTGGTCTTTATTTGAAGGTGGGCTTTAGTGGGAGTGGTCTTTAATTAGAGGGAGACCTGTATTTCATGTGAAATCCAGTTTAGTAAAAGTTCATGTCACTAGCGTATGTTTCACCTGTGCAAGGGACCTGTAATTTAGCATAAATTGTAATTTAGCATAAATAATAAATAAATAATAATATTACAAAACTAACACTGTTTCTCCATTGTTTCACTATTTATAGGGTAGCCTAGTATTTGAATATCTCCCTCTCAAGGTAGGCACAACACAGGGTAAGCTGACCCTAACCAGTGCAGAGCTAGGCCTCTACCAGTACAATCTGGCGCTAACTGCTACGGCTGCTGGCCCAGAGAAGGCAGTTTACTTCCGGGCACCCCTGGGAGGCAACCATGTACAGGTCGCACGCTTCATTAATTATGCCAAGATGAAGGCCGAGTACACTTGCAAGGTATGCTGTGATTTATTACCCATAATTCTTATGCAATTCACTGATTGCTTGTAAGAAGTTAAAAGTGGAGAATGCTTGAACATGAACAAGCAATGAAATAGTATGCACTGCTACAGAAATCAATATATGTGATGTGTTTTACAAAACTTGTACAATCACAAATATTAAAACATATTTTTTTATCCATAATGATCAATTGAATTTAAATTATCAGAAAGCATAGATAATAGAAGATAGAGCTGAACCGAAAATAATGAAACATCCGGGTTTCCACATTCCCCTGACCCAACGGTGATACTCTTCATATTATCTTTGGTTCAGTCAAGTTTGTTTGTTTCCTGTTCGTTTCTCCACTCCATCAAATAGTCCCCCTCTTAAAGAGGGCAAACATTCCATTAATTTTAATGCAGTGTTCATTCTTTTATATAGGTTCTTTGACATTAGAATTTCAAAAAGATTTTTTCAAACTTGTGCCTATTTTGAAGTTTCCAGATATAGTTAAAATTTTGTCAGACATTAAATAGATAGTTAATAAACATGGTTTTGCTACATATGTTTGCTGATGACAATTGTAAATTATTTTTATAAACTTGTTTCTCTCTCACTAATTATGACTTACTGAATATTTGTTTACTCCTAGATTGACAGCAGTGAGTTTCATTGCGATAAAGCTGTAACAGCAGCTCCTGGATCTGCAGGAGGCGGCACTGAGGTCAACCTTGATGTGACCTTTGAACCATCACGACTTGGGGAGACTCGTGCAACATTAACAGTCAGCTCACCTTTAGCCGGTGAATATACATTCCCATTGTTCGGGACGTGCATAGCACCTAAGCCTCAAGGACCTTACACAATCAAAGCAAATTCTACCGCTTCCATCCCATTCCGGAATGTGTTCCCGCATTCCACGGCATTCACATTCCAGGTAGATAATCCATCATTCTCCTGCAAGACAGGTGATACAATCCGTGGGAAAAAGACGCATAATATCATCGTCGGTTTTGAGGGGAACCAGGATGGAACAAAAGCACCGAAAATGGGCAAGTTGGTGGTGACCTGTCCGAGATCAGCTGGCGGTGCTTCTAGCGTGGCTTGGACATATTATGTACGTGGTGTCACACCTTAGTAAAATTTCACTTGTATGTAAATACAGACCTGCTCCTTTTGAACTGCAAGTAGTGGATCATTTATCACTCGCATAATGTGTATTTAACCCTGAATGTATCTTCTCTGATCCAACCAAATGGCTACTTCGGTCAAGGGGATAATATTAGCCAGTTCATTTGTCACAGCTCTGGCAAAACCAGCCGTTTATAGGAAAATTCAAAATTGAGTTTTTGGTGTTTTTAAATTCTGTATGAAGTTTTCTTTAAAAAAGTGTTTATTTGATGGAAATTGGTTGAGTATTTTAGCGAAGTTGTAAATATTTTAATTCATTGGATATCACAGCCATTTAGGTTTTGAGAAAATAGCTTCCAAAGATTCCAAAATCAGTAGGTTATTATTATACTTTTCAGTTAAATTTAGTTTATTTTTTTTTATAAATGTTTGCTTGTGGCATATTAGAATTTTCCAGAGCAAGTCGCATGTATTGGCCTAAATAAATCTGCCCTGATAATATAATTATTTTCTTACTATTCTTCCCACAGGTGAGATGATTTTAAGAGTTTTATAAATATAACTAAATTGTGTACATAGGGTATCTAAAAATATGTTAATTATTAACTTGTAATGATAAATCAGAAACCGTCCAGAGATATTACACCTTGGTTATATGCTATTTTCAAATACTGTATGTATATTTAGTGTGTGTTGGAAAAAAAGAAAATGCATTTAACATGCGAGATCGTTTGTAAATTATTTGCAGTTTGTACTGTACAGTATTTGCGTTTTCTCTCCATATTTAAAAATTAAAAGGTTGCTATTACCGGTAATAATGCTTGAATGAAACACCTTGTTGACACGAGTATAAAAGCTTTGAAATGCTGTATGTAATTTGTTAGAGAAGGAAGTGCATTTAAAATGCGAGATTGTTAGTAAATTATTTGCAGTTTGTTTAAATCTATATAAATATATTTGATTAAGTAAAGCTTTTTATCTTTACAGTTTACTAGATTATATAAGGCTTATTTTGATTTGCTGTTTAAATCTCCATTATCACCTTCCAAACATTATTTGTAAAAGTGTACACAATAAAATTTAAGTTACCAAAACCCAATGTCTATATTTTTTTATTTGTAATTTTATTTTTTTCTGTACACAGAAAACAATTTATATAAATTATAACATTTTGATTGTAGCCCCAAACTGGGAGAAACCATTTCAAGGAACTCTGGTTTAAACACATGTTGATACCCCAACAAGTGGTACTGTAGTGGTCCAAGGTTATGAAACTTTTCGACCAGGGGATGCTGCTAGTAGGGGAGGGGGATCAAGGAGAAAACAATTTGTTGGGATGTAAAAAAAAATATATACAGTATAAAAATAAATAATTCATAAGTCTTTGAAACCCCTAAATTGTCAATTTTCGGGGCTTCATCCCCTGAACCACTGCCACAAGATTTTGAGCGCCGCCAGACTAAGCTCACTGGGACATCAGACCATCTGTTGGGAAAATCCTGGTGTCACCCATTTTGGACTGCAGTGCAAGGGTTTCAAACCGCAACAGTCAGTGGCGTCACAGAGTTTTTAGAGCCCTCGCGGTGACATTGGGGCCCTAGTAACGGAGCGAAATAGGCGTTAAGTTTGGAGCGAGCTACCAAATGCTGGATGGGTTGGGGTGAAGGCCCCTGGTGGGGGTCCAAGGGACATCGCCCCCCTCGCTCAACAGCTTATGGCATTTATGAACTGTTAACTGCGTTGGTGGAGAACATAGAATGGTTCATGACTGATGGAATTTCAGACAGTTTTATGACAAAACCAACAAAAATTACATAGTCAACTTTCGGAACTGGTATATGCCTCAGTAACCCTATGTACTCTATGTAGGTGTAAATAAATACAGAGAATATTTTAGTGAGAAACAAAACATGTTTTAATAACGTATATACAATGCAATGCTTAAGCAGATTGATCACAAAATCTGAAACAAATGTTAATCATCGGAACAGAAAAATTTAATGAAACTATGGTAATATAATTTATTTTTGTTTTTAACTACAATGTCGGGGCCCCTCATGCCGGGGCCCTAACGCTCCGCCCCCCCCCCCCCCCGTCAGCGTCCGAGCGTGACAGTAAAGTTTGTTGTAGTTCCACATTTACAGTGAAATTAAGGGTCGTATATATTTGAGTTACAGTATACGCGTATCCATTTTACACCAAAAAAAAAATAAATGCTTCCCTCAAATAAACACCCCATCAAAAACCTTTCTCAACAATAAAAGGTTGGGAGCATTTAATTGGATAAATAGGGTATCTCCCAGTCAATGCAACATGAAAGAGCGACCACCACATCAGTTCAATGATCAACCGACTTCATAGTAAAAAATTGATTTGTATCACATTGATTTCGCATTCATAATTGTTGCGTTCTATGAGTACAATATTTACATGTCTTTTCAAGTTGCCACGCTGATTAAACTTTTTTCAACCATGTCCACATTCATACAGTACTTTCGTATTGTTACTGTTTCAGGTACCGATAATATACAGATTTCTCTTATTATAAAGTACAAGTTATGTTTTATAGAAAAGTATAGTATAGTAGGCCCTAAGTCATGTTTTAAACACAGCAAACTCTTATATAGTAACAAAAACAATGCCGGTAGGCCTACCTGTACCACTAGTACTACTGCACTGTAATGCATAGGCCTATTTTAATACACTACTATAGATAGGCTTTTCTTTTTCCATCTTGTTTTCTGAGGTCAAAAACATTTTTCTTTTTTTTTTTTTTATTTATCATTTATCATTTCATTTATTGGTCTCAAAACATTAAAATTGACAATAAAGGAAATAGCAAAGAACAAGCACAGACAATATGAGACAGGACACCCCAAAAGTGAACTTAATCACTGTCAATTGAGGGCCCTTCACAAGAAACAACCTCTGTATATTAATCATATAGTCGTGTAGAATCAATGAAAACTTTTAGTAATAATATTGCCATAGTACTTGAAAACATTATTAAGGAGAACAAAATTACTTATTTAGCTGGAGATTTTAATATTAACTTATTAAGTTTTAATACTCATAATTATACAGCTGAGTTTTAAAACACTGTGTATTTATCAAATTTGTATTCACTTATAACCAAGCCTACAAGGGTTACAACGAGAACTGCAACTCTTATTGACATTATTTTTTCCAATAATATACATGACAAAATTTTTCCATTGATTTATTACAGATATTTCCGATCATTTTCCTGTGTTCGCATTAATTAATAGTGTTCCGTCCAACCGATCTTTTATTAACCGTTATGTTTACTGTAAACGTGTAAATGATAGCTCAATTAATTCTCTAAAATAAGAGCTTGTTCAAGTTAATTGGACAAATATATTTAACAACCATGATGATGCAACTCAAGCTTATAATGACTTTTTATTTAAATTCGATTCGCTAATAATAAACATATTAAGAAAATACGTTATAGGAGAAATTTTCGGAAACAAAAACCATATGGATTACCGATGGCCTAATAAAATCAATTGACACTTATAGAAACAATATTTATAGGAGATTTCTTAAAACTACTAACAATAGAGACAAAAGTAAATAGGCCTATTAATTATAGAAATAAATTAACTGGTCTATTAAAGATTGCAAAAAAGAAATATTTCACTGTAAAATTTAATAGCCAAAAACACGATATTTATAAAACATGTCAACAATGTTTTTGGCAAAAAGAATACGAAAAATATTCCTTCGTATGTGTTGCATAATGATAACAAATTTACGGAACCTCAAGCTAATTCTTCCCAATTTAATAAGTATTTTGTTAATATTTCATGAACTTAATAATAGTATATCCACAAATTTAAATAATGAATCCTTTACTTCTTTCTTACCCCAACCTATTGCTAATTCGATTTTTTTTAAATCCAGTTACAGAAGTTGAAGTCTTTGATTTAATAATAATTTAAAAGATAAAAAGCACGGGAATTGACGGTTATCTAATAAATTTATTATCTTATTACTAAGGCCTTTGATACCATTAATCACAATATTCTTTTACATAAACTTGAAAATTATGGTATCAGACGCCTTCAACTTATAACAAGTTACCTCGCCAATCGCAGTCAGTAGGCCTACACTACTATAAGAGTGTCGATTCTAGTCTCACGTCAATAACTTCTGGTGTGCCTCAAGGCTCGCTACTTTGACCGCTTCTGTTTTTAATATATGTCAACGATCTTCCCAATTCTTTTTCTCTTTGCTGATGACACGAATATTGTTTTTTCTCTAAGAATAAAAATTTATTATTAAAAACGATGAACGCTGAGTTAAGGTCTCTATGGTTTCAACTTAATAATCTATCATTGAACACCTCGAAAAGTAATAGGCCTATACATTATTTTCAATCAGCATAATTAGGGCCTATATTAAAGCTAACGACAATTTATTAATCGATGATAACATAATAACTCGTGTAAACGAGACTAAATTTCTGGGTGTCCCCATTGACTCAAAGCTTTCTTGGAAACCGCATGTCAATCAGGTGTCCAACATAATTACACGCAACATTGGTATGCTAAACAAGCTTAAGCATTATTTTCCATCAAAAATTCTTTTAACCTTTGCTGTAATACTTTAGTATTTCCTTATATTTCATATTGCAATATTGCATGGGGAATTACTTTAAATAAGTTCGAAACTTTATGTTCCTGGTCCAGGTTTGACTTCGACTAACGTCGATTGCATTTTTCGCCTTCGAAACGACCCCCCTTCGGATTTGCTCAGGTGATTCCTTTAGCGCTCACACCAAACACTTTTTTTAAATCACTTTAATCAGCCGTTTTTCAGTTCTTTTTCGGGGTCTGAAATTATGGGCGAATGTTTCTGATGACCTAAAAATATAGTATTCACACATTGAAGTACTGTAATCACCTTAAGAAGTCTTTGGTCTCGGTATATGGCATTAATTATCGTTTTCCTTCAGATCCTTTCATTCCTATTTCAGTCTTTGAAATAACGTGTCTGGTCTTGTGTTTAAAAAAAAAACGAACAAAGTTGGATTGGAATTATTATAATTTTATTTGTATATCATTTCTATGATTCTATTTGTTCAGATAAAACTAAACAATGGTACCGGTCTTTTTTTTTTTTTTTTTTTTTTTTAAGTGGCTACGTCAATCTGAAAGCTCTTGTTGAACCTACTGTAGCCTCCTTCTATACTTATTGTATATTGTACTACTTTATTGTATATGGGAAAATAAAAGTCTTTTATTTTATTTTATTTGATACATGTCTGGATCCG